TCAGAAAGGAGAGCAGCAAAGGAAACGGGGCAGGCGCGGGAGGACAGCAGCCGGAACCAACTGCGGAGCAAGGCGGCCGGGAGGAGAGCCCCTTATATATTTGGAGCGGGCGTTTCTCAGCTTTGGCACTTACTGACATTTTGGGTAGACAATACAGTATTTTGCTGTAGGGGCAAAACTGCTCCCAGCTGAAAACTACTCCTTTAGAAGCAATGATTTAAATATAACAACATAAAAATGAACAAAAGACAACTGCCACACACACGCTTATTTCCCAAGTTACCAAAGTGACTGCCTGTTCTCAGGAACAAGATAAAGTTAAATTAGGGTAGAACTCACCTAAATGCACAGCACCAGTACAGTACAAATACAGTATAAATTGTATAACACAGTATAAATTGTAAAATACAGTATAAATTGTGTTTAAGGACCTGAAAGGAAGTGGGTATCAGTGAGTTTGGAGGAGCAGCATATTTGTCAGAAACTGTTCCCCATGATATTCTGGGCTCTTTGCCTATATGAAAGAACTGGCCTTGGGGTTTTGGTGATCTGGGATCTGGTTCGCTTTGGTACAAATCAGTGGTAGGACCTGGAGCCAGTCACTTGGCCCATTGGCTTCATACACGTTACCAAGAGTTTAAATAATGCTCCTCGGGGGAACGAAACTACTTAAGTGACTAGTTCAGATCCATCTGTACTACGGTAAACACCAACATGGTGAATACTGCGCATTTGTTTGCTCCTCGACCCTTTATTCCCTTGCCTGCTCAAGTGTGATCAGTGAGCACAGTATCAGCATCACTTGGGAGTTTGTCAGAAATGTAAAATTTCAAACCTTTATTCAAATCAATTACATCAAAATCTGCACTTAATAAGAAATGATGCCCATACACATTAAGGATGGGGAACAGGGCACTATTCTGCCTTCCTCAAACTAAAGGTTTCTAACTATAGCAGTTGGAAATCTGAAGTACTACCTCTGTAATATTTCTTTTAAATTAGCTTCTAGTTGAAAACTAGGTCAACAGCCAACACCTACATCTGCTGTGTAACAGGTACTGCTCATGTATTATTAACTGATGTGATCTCCCAATAATCCCATGAGGGTGATATACTTATGATTCCCACTATACAAATGAAGAAATGAAGGCCCAAAGGAGGGCTAAGTAACTCATTTAAAGTTCAGTAAAGAAGTGCAAACCTAGGCATTCTTGCCTAGGTATTCTCTGGAATATGTCATGATAAATCACAAAGGACACACAGTCCACCTTCCCCTCTTTCCTCCCATGTAGGACTTTGGTAAATCTTGTTAAGTGGAGTGAGGTAGTTCCCTTCATTTATTTACCTAAGTATCTAGAGCCAGCATTGTTATTTGGAAAGTTCCAGGCATTGCAAAAAGCACCACATACAAGAAAGGCATTATCATTGAAAAGGAAGCGAAATCATTTGCAACTTTGGACTGAATGACAGCATGAAAAGGAATTGAGCCTAAGAAAGATTACTATTTATTAGTATTAGAATAAAAGTTCAGAAAGGAATTTAAAACTAAGCATATAAAATACATAAAAACCAATATCTAAAACTAGTAGCAAAAGAAATGATGTGGGAAAAAAATTCCTATAAAGACTTAATGCAGGTTTTACTGTTTATGTATGAAGTGTACATGGACACATGTATGTGTATACATCCATAGTACTCTGCTACTATAAAAGATTATAGAGCAGAGGAGAAAGTGGGTAATTCAATGATGGGAAAAAATTAGCTCCATATCTCATACAACACAAGAAGTCCTTCTCCATAGGTAAACACAGCTGGACACAGAGCTCAGTGCAGTGCACCTATACAGTGTGTACCAGGCCCAGGTTCAACCCCTAGTACAGCCAACAGCAGTGCTTCAAAAAACAGATTAAACATGCAGAGTGGAAAAACACATGCACATATATGAAAGAAAATACAAGTGGCTATTTAAATGATAAGTAGGCTAGGTTAAGAAGGAATTTAGTACAGTTCTTACATATGTGTGTATTTGTGTGTATATGTGTAGTATTTATGACATTAGCAAAAAAGGAGTACCAATGAGTTATAAAAATTTAAAGTATTTCTATACCAAAAACACTGTAAGTAGAATTGTAAGGTAAACAGAAAGCAGGAAAGACAGTAAATGTGAAATAAGGGGTTAGTATCACTACAATGTCAAAGAACATAATAAAGAGAGATCTTAACTATTAGTTAGTATCTGCCTGTACTCCAACACTCAGGAGGCTGAGGCACGTTGAGAAGGATTAAGAGTTTGAAGCTATCCTGGGTTATATAAAGTTCAAAGCCTGGACTACATAGGAAGACCTGTGTCAAACAAACAAACAAACAAACAACCCTCGATCATCCCTTCAAAAGCTGGAGCCAAAGATTCTAAGTCAATCTGGAAACCCTGCACTGTGTCACCATCTGAGCAGATGCCACTGACATTACAGACACAGACTAAAAGCCTGGCAGTTCAACTCACCGCCACACAGCAGAGACACAGATCTAGCCACTCTGGCGTTCCCCAGCATTAACACACTTGGGTCACCGTCACACATGCAATTATTAACACATACACAGCCCAGCAGCCGCGTCCCACAGCTCCTGGGACAGCTCTTGAAGCCTCTCCTTTCCCTGGCTTGCCTTCTCTTGCAGCTCTGACTCCTACTTTAAACCTCACACAGTTCCCTTCCTTTCTCTCCAGGGCTGTTTTCCTGGGGTTCTTGATTTTAACCAGGCATCCTTTGTCAATCATCCAGCCAGGAAAGAATCAGGCCAGGACAGGAAATTCACTTAGCTTTCACTGAAACACAGTAATAGCTAAGGACAAATTGTAGAGTGATCCAGATGATACATTAGCTATTAATGAAACACCTGTATTAATCTTATTTCTGTATCACATGAAACAAATACCAAAATACATATACAATTTAGACTACTATTACAATTAAGAAGAGCCAAAGATAGATTGGCACAGTGAAAGCTTATGCAAAAGCCTTTCAGGTCTACACAAGGGAAAGGAGCAGCGAAGAAAGCTCTGTACGCAGAGGAGCCAGGGGAAGAAACCTACTTCACACAATTATCAGAAAAGGAAACTCTGAAGGAAAGAGAAACAGAAGGGATCTGCCACAGAACTCAACGCTGATGAAGAGCTGCTGAGCCCTGACAGGTGCCTCTGGCCCTCCGCTGCATAAGTGAGCACGCACCACCAGTCTTGATCCAGTTAAGAAGGAGTGGCCTGCTGCCTGCAATTTCCTCCTGAAGTCTAGGAGGCTGCCAAGGCTGGAGGGCAGCGTGCAAGCAGACAAGGCAGCAGGAAGACGCCTCTGCTTCGTTTCCAGCTAATTAGTTTTGGTTCTGTATCTGTTTGCATCATTGTTTTTATGGAAAAGTTCACTGTGACTTCTAAATCACCAGGTTAGAAACCAATTCAAAAATATTCTATTTGTAATAGAAGGCCTTGTGTCTTTACATCAACCAATAAAACAAAATAACAAGAAAGCATCTCAAGTATAAATCAAAGTGAGTCTTTGGAATGTTTCATGAGCTTCATTTCATTCTCTCTCAAAATCCTCGTATGTACAGAATTATCTCTACCATTATTACACGGCACGAGATAAAAATGTTTTCATTATAGGAATATGAAAACACTAGCTTTGTGAAACGATTTATCACAAAACTTTGCTTCTTACATCAGTGGGTTGTATTTCACCAATTTTGTTTTTTACTTTTTGATAATTTTTTTTGGTTTTGATGTAAGAAAATGCATATTTCAAGTATAACTTAAATTACTGCACCTGAAGGCTTAAACAACTCATGAAGTAAAAAATGATAAAAATAACACTTTCAAAGAAGTACAGGAAAATGCAATTTCATGAGTTACATGTGAGGAAACAGGTATGCCAAGAACTACCTGTACCTAGGCCCAAGAGGCTAGGGTATTTGTGTCATTTATTATTATTTTTTTCTTTCTTTTTCTCTGTACTGTAGCAATTTGGTAAGATCATATAGATGAAGCCCTCATATTGCTGAAGTCCACAGAATCTTAAAGGATGCATTATATAGCCTCCCTTAGTTATCTGACAGTTTATTTTGGAAATCTAGGTTCAAATGCACTCCAGTCTCCCAAGGGAGCTCTTGCAGCTATTTTCTTCACTTTTCCAGTTAAGCAACTGAGAGGAAACCAAGATTTACTGAGTCATGCGTGGTACAGTTGATGGGGAAACCCACCAGGAAGGAAATCAGGAAGACCTCCAATCTGCTTCAGTCTCCATGTCACACAGTGAGCAGTTATATTCCATACAATGATCAGAATTGTTAAGGCATGGTGTGTGCACTGCACACTGTCATTTGTTTCCTAACACATGGAAATAACAGATGTTATACTTTATTAATGCTGTACATGTAGGGACGATACCGGAGTTTGTGAAATGTGACAAAAGGGACAAAGCGACAGGTCCTGACTGTCCCTTAGTGCAGAGTGCAGTGAAGATCAATACTCATTGAATTTCTGCTGCTTAATATGATTCTAAACATCGGCTGGTCTCCGGTGTTTGTGAAGGGTTCCTTACTGTGCTTGGTGAAAATTCATCCCGTATGTAATTCAAGTTTTAAACATCCTCCTGATCTTAAACACTATGATGTCACAATGTCCATTCTCGCTGCCTAGTTAATGAGCTCAAACCCAGAAAGCTTAAAAAACCCAACTTTTCCTTTACACCCAGCCGCTCAGACGTCTTTCCCTTTGCTATCAATTGAAAGCAATTTTCTGGCTTTCTCACTTTTCAATGAAGTAGTTGCGATCCCACCTGTGCTCCAGTACAGACCGCGCCTTGGCGAGCCCGCGTGCCACCTCCTCGCGGCCTGACCGGCTCGTACCACCCCGCGCCGCCCGCCGGACCAGGATGGAGGCGGGGCGCCCACTGTCCCGTCCCGCGGGCGCTAGGGCCGCGCGGACCCCGCCGCCTCGGCCAGCTCACCTGCTCGCGCTCCGCCCGCGCCCGCCCGCTCGCCCCGGGCTCCGGCTCCGGCTCGGGCTCCGCTGCCCCGTCCTCGTCGCGCTCCCCGCCGCTGCCGCCGTCGCTGCCGCCGCCGCCCCGCAGCAGCTCCCCGGCGGAGCACATCCCGCCGCCGGCTCCCGCCGTCCCGCACGGCCGCCGGAGGGCCGCGCCACCACGCGTGAGGCAACGGCCGTCACCCAGGCCGCCCGGCTGGGCCGCGCTCGCTGCTGACAGGAGCTCGGGAGCGCCCGCCCGCCCTCTCACCGCCTCGCCCCGCCCCGCCCCGCCCGACGCCGGGGCGGGGCCAGCAGGGGCGGGACCCATTGGTGGGTGTGGTCACTGCGTGGGCGGGGCCAAGGGGGTGGCCAGGGGCTAGCAGAGTGTGTGTATGTGGCTATGGGAGGGGTTGAGTGAGTGTAAAACGCAGCATGAGACATTACGTGTGAAAAGCTATATATACATGTGTATACGTACATATATAAAAACGTACTGCGAGACTGAGATTGTGTATGGTGGAGCTGAGTGTAGAGGAGGTTGTGTCTGAGAGACTGACTGTGTGTGCAAGCTTGTGTGTGATCGTGTGAGACCATCTGTGCATAGCAGGCTGCTTGTGTGTAACGTCCTTATCTGTAGTGTAACGTCCTTATCTGTAGGCAGATTGCACATGCAATCGCTTGTGTGTAACGTTCTTATCTGTAGGCAGATTGCACATGCAATCGTGTGGAAGGGAGAATTGTGTGTGTGCGTGTGTGTGTGCGTGTGTGAGAGAGAAGATGGGCCTGAGGGAAAGGGGAGCTGTGTGTATGTGTGTGGTGTGTAACAGAATATGGACGTGGAAGACACTGGTGAGGCCGGCGTGTGGGGAGAGCAGCATGGCACACCAGCTGCAGGCTCAGCTGCGCAGGCCCAAGCTGGTGCCGGTCTGCCCTCGCAGGGGCGCCCGTCTCCCCTTCTTCTCTGAACCTCTTGGTGGATGTCGCTCGCTGGGCCTTGGGATCCTTTGCTGATGTCTGATTTTGTGTATACAGCTAAGAACATGTCTACCTCGGTGGTGGGAAGGGGAGCGCATCTAATTTATAATTCTTTTTCTTATTACCCCATCTAGTTTGTTAAAGGGGAGTGGAGGGACATTTAAATGATATTTCAAAGGTGTGAGTCTCTTGTCCGTATATTGAGAAAATGACGGGCCCTTGTATCTATAAATACCAGCGTATCTATAGAAAGTAAATATGCATGGGTAGGGAGAAGAATAAGAGTTATTTGGAAACTTCTGCTAAAACGCTTTTCAGGCTCAGACAAGGAATTAAAATAAGAACTCAGAGGCTCCTTTTAAAGACCTGTTTCCTGTTTTTCAGAGTCAGGACACTCCCTTCTGCTTTCCCTCATACACACGTGGTCTCTGTTACACACACGGTCTCTCAGGGCAGTGCACACATGGTCTTTTGTACACACATAATCGCACACATCGTCCCTTTTGCACACACACACCCTCTTACACACCTTCTCACAAACTCTAATAGTTTCTTCCAACCCCTGCAATCTCCCTAGGGACTGGAAAATATTTTGGATATCACAAATTAGAACATAAAACTGTTTTAATTCCTTTCTTAAAAGCGTTTAAAATCCTAAAGGAGGGAGGGGGAGAGAAGGAAGGGAAAAGGGATTAAAAGAAATAAAAGGGAAAATGGAAATAGCTTGCAAAAGGGGAGGGGAAGAAGGGCTGGAGGGAGGAGAAGGGGGAGGGTACAAAAGAGAAGGAAGCTGGTCCTGTGCATGTACAAATCCCCAGATGACTGGGAGTATTATGTACTGCAAACATGGACTAATCGTAAAAAAGGAAAGAAAACTAAAAGGCTGTAGGGTGCAATCAGAAATGACTCACCCTGGAAATCCAAAAACACCCCCGGTGGACTTCATCCTTTTCCTCTAAACGGCAACGTTTTTGAAATTTTGGTTTGCCTATTATTTCTTAGAAATAATGACACAGAGAACGTCAGCCCTTTGCTGCCGACTCTGGGAACTGAAGGCACATTTTGAAGCTGTCCCTCTTCTGCTTGTGTCATGGTTTATGTTGGTGGCCCCAGGCCCCATGCGTTTGCATTGTGCATTTGTGATTGGCTCATTGTCCAGAGCTTGGATTGATGGTGTCAGTGCTACACTGGCCTGGGGATGGAGCCAGGATGTAATGTAATGGTAGGAAGAAGCTGTGTGTTGGGCTCTGTTTTGCAGGTTTTCGCCATGCTGTTTGCATGCCAGCCTGCCTTGGAGCCAACTGAATATGGACTGAAACCTCCAAAAACTGTAAGAAATAAAACTTTCCTTTCCCAACTTGGGCTTCAGGTATTTTGTCTCAGCAATGAATATAAAGTAACTATGACAGCTTGTGTCTGTTAACTTGGTAATGGTAACTGGGTAAGTGGAACAGCTGTGCACGCTCAACCAGGTAAAGCCGCACCTCCTTGTACAAACTAGGGTTCAGAAAGCACAGAGCACACCAAGGTAGGCAAGGAAGGTTCATCAGCGCTTAGCTGTGTTCTGTCGGAGATCTTTTAAGAGTCCTTCATCCAGAGTACACTGTCTGGTCTTTTGTTGATTCTGCCCACTTGATGCTTTGAGAGGTATTTTTTTTCAGCCCGGCCAAGGTATACAATTGAACACCATGAGCCACTGGCCCAGATCCAGGTTCCTACTCTCACAAAACTTCAGTTTAATCTTCTAATTCTAATCTGCTTCTTTTGACACAAACCAAGAACTTTCACCATGGCGTGGCCAGAACCCTCTGACCCTCACCTAGAACTGATATGTTTTCTTTTCTTTCTTTTCTTTTTCTAGTGTTGTCTCCTATGGTATGTTCCTTTTAGAGCAGTCATTCTTTGTTCTCAGAGAGTCCTGCCTGCCTTGATGATTTAGAAAACTACTTCTTCAATCAAATCTAATTATAACATTTTACACAGAATATATTATGCCGTTTCCATCCAGATCATACACTTCCAACCACATCCTAGGGAAAGAGGGGGCTGCTTTTGCCTTAGTGCATGATATGAATAATACACAGAAAGCTATCATCCAGTTTCCCATGAGAGATGTAAGATTGGTAACTATAACACACTGGTCTCAAATTGTATGCAGTTTAGTAGTGGACAAAAGTACTTGCTTGTGTTTTCTCAGGAATCGGTAAGTGGCAAGGAAAAGATTTCTGACTAAGGAGTGGCTTGGGGTTTACATGTGTCTTGTGCAGTTGTTGAGACATTTAATTCTGCTTTTGTGTCTTTAACCTTGTTTTTAATGTGCTTCCATTTATATTTCATTCATTACTACACCTTCCCAGAGGAAAAAGTAAACCAGGTTGGCCTGTACTCACTAACAGTATAACCTTAGAAATAATGCAGTGATTTGTGTAAACTTCCTCAAGCTTCATTTTTGTTTGATTTTTGGCATCTAATGATGTTGACTTTGGTACAATTTTCATTTGTCTCATTCCTATTTAGCAGATCCCCTGGAATGGGGAATAATTTTTGAAATATTTGAATTCTTAACCAAAATTCCAGGAAACCCTCTTACCTTGGTTGGGTCTGGAGTGGCCCCTGAAGCCTGTAGGTTAAATGTTTGGTTGCCAGCCTGTGGTCCTGGTGGGGAGGGGTGGAAAGTTCCAGAGCTGAGGTCAGGCAGAACCAAGTTAGGCCATTGCTGTGCTCTTAAAGGGACATTTTGAACCCTGCCCTCACCCCTCTTTTCCTTTCCTGACTTCCATGAGATGAGCAGACTCATCCCACTGCACACACTCTCCAACATGCTGCTACCTCCCTACGGACCTCAAAACAACAGAGCTGACTGACCAAGGACAGAACCCTCTGAAAACATAAGCCGCCAAGCCTTCCTCCGTATAAATTGTTCATCTTAGATATTTTCTCACAGCAAAAGAAAGCTAACATACCTGTGGCTTGTGGAGAATGTATAGAATTTAAAAGAAAAAGAACTTAGTGGAAAATTCCTAATTCTTTAAGATTCTTTCAATTTAAGGAAACTGTACCAGGAAGATGCTGACCCAATGCTCACGCTCTGTTCTATTGGTTCCCAAAGAGTAAATGCTGATTTTGGGAAAAGGAGAAATTTGTGCCCTCTTAGAATTAATTTTCAAACTCTCTGTTTTGTTTCCTTTCTCTGGTTTGACCTCTTTGTACCACATGCATTGCAAACTTCTTTCCCCATATAGTAATGTAGAATAAGAACTGTACCCATTTTAAAAAAGCTTTGAGAAGGATATTCAAACTCACAGGTAGAGGAAAAAATGGCAATGTAAATAATAATAAACTACCTACAGGTATTTGCAAAAATCTTTTAAAAGTTGAATATTATCTAACATTGGCAATACTTTAAGAAAATGATTAAACTCGCTTCGCTAGTAACTCTGAAATTTATAGCGTTCTGCATTCTTTTGCAATAAGTATTCTGAATCATAAAGATATCCACCCCTTTGGATATGGGAGGCATTAATTAAAGGATACAAGGTTCTAGTTAGGCAGGAGGAATAAATTTTCAACTTTGTTGCATGGTGTGGTGATGATAGTTAGCAATAATGTATTGTCTACTTCAAACTTGCCCAAAGAATGTTTGTAAAATGCTCTCATTATTTAAAACCTGACAACTATTGGATGTGACAGATATGTTAATTAGCTTGACATAATCATTCCACAATGTATGCGTATATCAAAGTAGTCCATTGTATTCCATAAATACATGTAATCATTATTTGCTAATTAAAATAAAAATTTGATTATAGCAACAAACTGAAGTTAGCTTATATGTCCACTAGTACTAAAATGGTTCAGGAATAGAGATGTGTAACATCTTACAATGGTAAAAAAGATTTTGAATGTATATGTAGTAAATAGTTATAATAAGCGAAAAAGTGCAAAATGATAGTAGCAGGGTCAGTTACTGTATCACAGGAACTAGGCAGATAAAAAGAGTAAAAATGAAATTGAACATGTAGATCAAATTTAGAAGTCACATTTAAAACTTTTTGTACAATGTGCTTATGAGTGATACGCTTCTTTGTAAAATTAATTTTCATGCTGTAATTATAAAGTAAATCATTTTAAAAGATCTGTATCTATTTTCCTTACAAAATAGGATTAATGCCTCCCTATGTCTGGTAGATTCAGCTTCATAGCTGAAAGTTATATTATCTTTTGTTGAATAATTTAGTTGTTGAATGAGTTTGGATCTTTTATTCATGCTGTTCTCAATAATTTAGACTCTCAGAGTTGGAGTCTAAGAGGTGGTTTACTGCAAATTCCCATCCGTGTTGCAGTCTGTTCTGTGTCATTTCTGACTTGTGGTCACCCTTCCACTGCCAGAATGCTCCCAGCTAGGGAATCTCCTGACTTCAGGATACTACCTTTCAGCTCTGGCGGATACTAATTTGTTAGAAAGTTCCTTCATCTGAGTTGAATCTGTATTCGTGTCTTCTCTGTCTACGAGTCTTAATTTATTCCTGAAGTACAAGATAACAAATTCAGCCCCCAACAGTTCTTTGAAAGTGCTTTTTTTAAATTTTAAAAAGAATAAAATGAAGGAAAATAAAACAGAATAAAACCAAAATAAACCAGTATAAGTGATACAGAACTTCAAAACTGATAGGTTCTGCTAGCCTGGGGCTATGTAACATAACATACTTGGTACTGGACCCAGAGAAACAACTTCTCTCTCCAAGAGTTACTTCTAAGTTGTCCTTCTCAGTCCAGAGATAAGCCTCCCGCTCGCTTTTGCATGTGTGCTGAGCCCTCTCCAATCCCAAGACCCCACAACCACCTGAGCCTCCATCCCCAGGCTCCCGTAAATTTTTGTGTCTCCTGTTTTACACAGGTGGGTGCTTCTTCAAATCAGAGTTGATATGTCATTTTGCTCACCTCCCAAACTCCTCCCCAAGCCAGAACTGATGAAAATAGTCCCACTTCTTCATTCTAGCTGAGGGCCACTGCACTTGTAAAGCTCTCCCATGTCTTCATTAAAGGCCTCTTCCTACTTTGTCTCCTTTTTATCTCTCCTGCCTGCTTCAGATTATTAAGCGCCAAAAATAATCAAAACCCTTACAAACGCAACAAGAGTTACCATAATGCCTTTTTTTGTCTTCAAAATAACTGCAGATACCTTTGGAGATAGTAAAAATCGAACAGAACAGAAACAATAAAAAAAAAAACCAATGAATGCAATAAAGGACTTCAAAAGAAGCCAATAGTAAATCCAAAATGGCTACCATAATATATCTTGCTATCTTTTTAAATAGCAACCCAACCCAGCATAACATTGAAAATGATATGATTTCTAGGTAAGGATCTCTTCCTGGTGAGGCCTGGTTCTCTCCCTTTGCAGTCTGCAAATGGTGCTGACTCACGGAGAGAGGCTTGGGTGTGGCTGTCCCCACTCCAGCACTGACCCCCACATGGCGCTCAAGAGTGATTTTTAAAAGTGATTTTTATTGTCTTAGACTTTGTCTTTTGTTGTTTAAGGAAAGATGTTGGATTTTTGACATTGTTATGTGTTCATTCTTTTTTTTAAGCAAAACATATTTATTACAGTTAGGCAGTAAGATGTACCTATTTCTTGGATTAACACTATCCCATCCAATTTTTTTGCCCATCCAATTATTTTATTTTGAAAGAGTTCACACCTTCAGAAAAGCCTGGGATTTCAATGAAGATTATTCCTGAGTCCAGAAATGAAGAATGTGACATTTGTTAAAAATTTCAATGCATCTCTCCTGTGATTGTTCGAAGATTGGCAAAGAATAGGAGTCAGGCCAGTTAGGGCACAAGCACCTATCTGGCAATGCAAGGTCTTTCTGGCACCAAAATAAATAAATAAAAATTGCAAAATCAGAGTCTTTGTAAGACTGATGTGTGGTGAAAATAAACCCAGAACTTCAGGAGGACCATTTCACAAAGCCTGAGAATGAAGTCGACCCAGCTGAATGTGTGATGGAGGGATGAACATTTTTAGCCCACTACTCCATAGGCGGGAGCTTCCCTTGCATGCTTTCTTCAGGGATGTTAGCTGATCTGCAACACAGTGCCGCCCGTCCTTTTTTCCTTCATCCACCACATCAGACTGGCTTTCATCACTTATTAAAGGAGTCAGAATGATCCAGGCTATATGCTGGGATTTGATAGAAATTAATATTTCTATTACTTTCAGGATGCAGAAGTTTGGGGCAGTTCATTTAAAATTTCTGCTTCTGACATTCATCTTCAGTGAAATGAGCGGGTTGAACTAGACAATTGAAAAACCTCTTCCTGCTTCAAAAGTCTGTATGACTTTGCTTCTAAATCTAACTGAGCACCTCAGCAGTTGTCCTCTGCATTTTTTCCTATTAGTCAAGTTGTTCTTATTGGAGTTTATTCTTACAAGTTAAAAAATAGGGGGCTGGGGATTTAGCTCAGTGGCATAAGCGCCTGCCTTGCAAGCAGGCAGTCCTGAGTTTGATCCCTGGTACCAATAAAAACGAAAAAGACCAAAAAAAAAAAAAGTTAAAAAATAGAAGGAATATTCTCAAGATGCATCTTCCTTTGTCAGTCATTATTAAATCACCTAAGTTTATTTTCTCCATCCTTCTCACTACAGAAAAGAAAATCTTTTAAAATGTTTTGCTGTGCATATAAGCTGACCTATTAAAATTCTAACACATCTATAATTTTAAAACTTTATAATGAAGTACCCTATTTTACCAGGTGAAAGTAGGCTGATCACTTTTTTGCTTCCAGTTTTTTATTTTGAAAAGAGTTCACACATTCAGAAAAGTTGCAGTAGAATAATGAACATCCATAGAGCTTCATCGGGGTTGTCTAGTTAACACTGCACTGCATTTGCACTCCTGTATGTCCTTCCTGAACAAGTGTGTCACTCTCTGTGTGTTTTAAAAATAGCATCTAAGTGGAGGACTCCTGAGCACTTAGAGGTCTTGGGGAGTGGGTGAGGCCCAGGTAGGGTCTTGATCTGCCCTAATCCCAATCCTGACTCTAATTCTCAGATTTTATACCTGAAAAATACAGAGCATTATTGGCACCTAAATTCATACTCAAAAATATTAGCTAATATCAATATTTTGTGAGTGGAACTGATAATGCAAAGTTTTCATTTTTCATTGCATAAGGAAAAGCTTAGTTACATCTCAGTTCGTCAGATGAGCTCAGATCTTAAGTTTCCTTGTGTAGAAATAAATTAGAGGTTGGCTTAAAGGGAAATGAACAGTACTGAAATGGAAATGAAGAATATGCATGTCTTGCTGGGTGTCTTAGTTACTTTTTACTCATTGCTGAGACAAAATCCCTGAAGCCCAAAGTTGGGAAAGTAAAAGTTTAGTTCTTACAGTTTTTGGAGGTTTCAGTCCATACTCAGTTGCTTCCAAGGCATGGCTGGGCATGGCAGCTGCAAACAGCAAGGCAGAAACCCACAAGAGAGTGAACAGAGAAACAACTTCTAACACACCTTCTTCCTGACATTACATTACATCTTGGCTCCACCCCTATGTGGGTGTAGCACTCACATCCCCAATCCAAGCACTAGACAAGGAACCAATCACAAATGCACAATGCAAATACATGAGGCCTGGGGGCCACCAACATAAACCATGACTTTCCACCCCTGGCCCCCAGGATTCATGTACGTCCTTTATACAAAAAAAATTTAGTCCATCTCCAAGAGTTGCCAAAGTCCTAACAGTTTCAGCATTGCTAAAAAGTCCAAGTCCCAAGTCTCCAAGATCTACGGCAAACTCTTAACTGTAACCCACTGTACAAATGAAACAAGGTTAAAACATTTCTGAAATGCAAAGGCACAAGATAAACATTACCATTCCAAAAGTTACAAACAGGGGAATATAAATTATTGGAAACAAAGCAAGTCCAACATCCAGCAGGGTAAACATTAAGTCCTAGACTTTCATGCTCAGCATTTGAAGCAATCTGGTTGCAAGCTCCAAAAGGCTTGGGTGATTCCACCCCCATGACACTTCCAGGAATATCAGCTCCTGAAGCTTCTCTCTTAAACCCTCTCTGCTCACTTTTTGAAGCTTTCCTTGATGATTCCTGGCTTTTCCAAACTTCTGGGGTCTCCATTGCACCTTTGGCTTCACCCTTACATCTTTACAAATTGCCCTCTCAGGGGTACACTGCTTGGCCTCCCAGGCCCTTCATAATCAAGGTGGAAGCCGTCTTACCCTTAGAACCCGTGCATTTTCCTTGTACCTAAAATCAGCACCTTGTGGATGCTGCCAAGGTTTGCTGCCAGCTGAAGCAGTAGTCAAGCTTTTCTCTCTCTTGGCTGTAGGGGTTGATTGCCTGGATCATTGGGCTCTGTGAACCTGACTGTGAAGAAAAGCTTCTCTATGTTGCCACCATCTGGAACCTCATGTGGCCTCAGTCACCATTCTGGAACATGGTGCTCTGCAGCTTTCTCCTCTGAGCAAATTCTTTCACCTTTTCAGTTTTGGGGCTGCAAAGGGTGGAGATCTGCTGCTTCCTGGGATGTCCTGGGGCCATCTTTCTTATCTCTCTGTTTCTCCTCAGCAATCAAAGTCTTAACCCTGTCTTTACAATCCACAGCTTTCCTGGAATTTTCCTTCTGGTCAGATTCAAAGAGTTGTAAGTTATCCTGCTGGACTCTTTGCTCTTGATTTGCAACATAAAGCTGGCTAAAAGCCCCAACAATAGCCATGCCACAGCCTCAAAATTCAACTGCTTTGAAATTTCTTTTTCCAGATTAATCAGCCCATTGCCATTTGTCTTAGTCTCAGGCACAGTCTCTGGGCATGAGCAAAATGCAGACAAACTTACTGCCAAGCCATAACACACATTATGGAGTAGTTCTTCCCAGCAGAAACCTCCCAAGCCTGGTCTTTACCCTGAGGCTTTCTATCAGTTTTCTGGTCTCCTGAGCTCTGACCAGAATCTCCTCTTCAGAACAGCGTAAGCTGCTCCAGCTCTATGCATCCAGGCGACATGTCCAAACCGTTCCAAACTCTGCCACAAGCCATTTCTAAAGCCTTTTGGAAAGGATGGTCAGGTATAGTCACAGCAAATGACTCCACTCCTCAGTACCAAATTCTATCTTAGTTACTTTTTCTCGTTGCTGAGACAAAATACCGGAAGCCCAAAGTTGAGAAAGGAAAGGTTTATTTCTTACAGTTTTTGGAGGTTTCAATCCATACTCAGTTGACTCCAAGACAGGGTGGTCTGGCTGGGCCGCAGTTCATGGCAGCTGCAAACAGCAAGGCAGAAACCCACAAGAGAGCAAGACACACCTTCTTCCTGCCATTACATTATATTACATCCTGGCTCCATGCCTAGGCCAGTGTAGCACTCACACCCCCAATCCAAGTGCTAGACAATGAACCAATCACAAATGCACAATGCAAATGCATGAGGTCTGGGGGCCACAAACATAAACCGTGACACTGGGCAAGAAGTCAAACTCCAAATAGCATCTGCCCATGCAGTGCTAGTGGACGTAAGCCGAGATCCAGGCAGCAGATGGGTTTCATCTCATGTGCCAATGCCTGGTAGCAGCTCCCTCTGGTCTAAAGACCCCAGAGAGCTTACCGGGACAGGATAGCCGTGGTATCACAGTAGGTCACTGTGTGATGGCCTGGCCGCTATGGTCCGATAATTCCCCATTTCATGGATTGATGGGTTCATGTGTTCACATGCTGCAATGTAGTGGCAGTGACAGTGTTAGAAGGAAGACCTAAGGAGGGGGCGAGTATTGAGAGCTGATCACTCAGGAATGGGATTAGAGACCTAGTGAAAGGGCTTGGAGGAGTGAACTGACTCTCACACTGTCCTGCCATGCGAGGACACTGTATTTTTCTTCTTTTGCCCTCCCAGCTCCTCTGTAGTGTGGGGACAAAGGGTCAGGGTACCATCTTGGAAGCTGAGCCCAGGCCTCTCCAGACTATGAAGCACTGCACCTTGGGCATCAATTCCTGGCCTGCAGGGCTGTGGGAAATACATTTCCATTATTTTATAATTATGTAATCCCAGGCATTTGGTTATGGCAGGACAAAAGAACCAAGGTGCATGCCCTTGCCAGTTCTGCTTTACGTATGAAAGACAAAGGGTTGGTTTCAGGCACTTGACAACTAGTTGATAAATGCTGTCAAGGCTAACAGGAGTAAAAAAAATCTGGGTTGAAGCCAAGATTCCTCCAGCCCATTGGTAAACTAGCAAGGTGTGTGCACATCCATTCTAGTGCTGACCACATCAAATGACTCATGTTCTTCTCCCTCAGTTAGGCCACAAGTTTCTGGACAGAAAATTTACCATTATCACTGTGTTTTATGAAATGCCAGGTGTGTAGTAGGTACATAATCCATGTTGGAGCTGACCCAGCTATATCCTAGTTTTGATGAGGATTGGGCGGAAAGTCTACCTTGTGAAACCTGCCCCATTTCTATGCTTATTTAAAGCCTCTTGCTCTGATAAATGTCTTCATAAAAATGGCTTTGACAAATATTTTATCAAGTACAATGTTTGGACAATATTGTATCAAGGAAACTAAGAGCAGAATAATGGTGGTCAAATTTTTGTTGTTGTTTTTGCTTTTTGAGACAGGGTTTCACTATTAGTTCAGGCTGGCCTCAAACTCTGAGATCCTTCTGATTATAAGTGTGTACCACCATGCAAACCTGGTGTTTTAATCCATACAGAGAAGAAACAGTTTGCCCATGATGCTGAGCTATTTTTCACAGTTATTGTAGGATAGAGTTTAGGTAAGGAATAAAGAGGCATAAAAACCTCAGAGACAAATTTTAGGCCATTTGTGACTGTTAATCAACTTTGCTTCTGAAACCAATTAGATAGCTATGAAGTAATTAAAATACAAAATCAAAATTCTTTAATTGCTTGTCTTCTTAAATAATTAAATGATAAGCAGTCCTTGACTCTCAATTTCTGAAATTTTGTTCAAATTGTAATTTCCACATTCATTGACTTTCCTGAATAAAATGTGGACTATTGTGTTTAGCAGCTAGAGAATGATTGCTTTTAGTAAACAGACGAAAGGGACCAATAGCTTACTTTAGCTCAATTACTTTCTTTTTCTGAATAATAGCAACAATCTACTATTTAATTGAATTTTATTATGAATGTTCACAGATACAAAAGGCAATGTACTAGAAAAAATGTGTTTTTGATAATTTTGTTATAAATTTTTGTACATACAAAAGGCAATGTGGTAGAAAAATAAATATTAGGATCTGAATAGGAGCCACAGATCTTATAGACTCATCACAGTTGAGCAAAGGTCAAGATCATTAGGAATATTTCTAAGGCACAGTTTGTCATCAGCAATATGCTATTCAAACTTGCTTATCTGTATGGTTTAGTTATCAGGGAATGTAATAAGACTGCAGAGTAGACATAGGTCTCCAAATTATACCTATAGTGTTTCCTAAGTGATTTCATAATAGTACATGTGCTAAAATATTTTCTCAATGCTGAAAGCAATTAACAATTTTACATTGTGTATTATATGTTTAGACTTATATTTTAAAAGCCTTAATGCAGATGGTTTTAAGTATATCATGTAAAAATGCAGTGCAGTTTTTAGGTTGTCTTGAAAACTCTTTCAAGCAGAGCCAGTGCCCTCACAATTGTAGCTGTTTCATATTCAAAGCTGTGGTGCAGTTAGAGCTTTCCTCAGCTATTGGTCTCCCGGAGTGAATGTTTTCAATGTGCACCTGCAAAAGGTGACTGTACTCTTTCCCCTACACAAATCAGGAAGTATCTCATCCTTTGGGATAATAATGAGAGGTATCTAATATGAAACCTGGGAAGTAGCTAGGCATGGTGGCACACCCTTGTAATCCCAGCCTCCCAAGAGGTTGAGGCAGGAGGATTGCTGTGAGGCTGAGGGCTGCCTGGGTTATGTAATCGAATTTAAGGCCAACCTGAACTATGTAGTGAGACCCTATCTCAAAAACCCAACCAAAACGAGACAAAAGAAATCTAGGAAATATGTTATTATTGGATAGTTCAGGTTGGAAGGCCAAGCAAGTTCAAAGTGGGCAGTGCTGAGTAAATGTGTGGTCTTCAGCTGTGAATTTCAACCTAGCCTCTGCAATCAGTCTGGGCGCTAACTTCAAGTCTGTCATTTCTAGCCCTAGAGCCTCAGTCATGTTTCTAAATTCTGTATTCTTGTTGGAGAATGGATCTAAGGCACCTACTTCATGGCGGTAATTACAGGAGAAAAGACATGATGCACTCAGAGTAGTTAAGTTGATACCTTAAGATGATGTACTAATTATTAACATTGTAGATCAAAATCTTCATTATGAGCTATGAGATACTTTCTAATTAATCAAATTTATTTGCCTTTTACAAATACACTATGATTGTAACAGTCCTTTACTTTTTGTAAGCAGAAATCAGTATTTTAAAAATGTGTGCTTGTGTTATTCTAGCACCTACTGCCTTTGCTCTCATTTTGCATACCTTAAGCATTGTTTTATTAGTGAAAATTTGCAACATGGAATCCCGATGTTCATTGCGGGGAACTGGTACACGTCCGTAACTGTAGGGAGCCAACCTGTGAGCTTGTACCTGACCAACGGGCGACGAAGATAAAACAGAAAGAGACACAGAATGGGTTAAAATGTGGGGGCCAGGGTGTCATCTCCCTGTGACAAAGAGCCCTGAGTGACTGGCGCACCCTGGCCTTATTCACTCAGACACGGGCACAGGCAGTCAGAGTGGCACAGGCTCGGTCTGTCCACTACCCATGGTGTGTGTCCAGGTGACTGAAGGGTCTCAGCTGCACTTCCCCATCTCCAGCATTCTTCCTTCTGTCCCATAAAAAGCTAGCGTTCACCATCATAAAGAGCAGTGATCAAATTTAAGACATTTTCTGCTTCTCAGAATTCAGAATCAAGTCAGATTCCATGGGGCTCAGTTTCTTTCCCATAAGGCCATGGTAGAATAGATGCTCCTTAAGCTCTCTTCAAGCTTTGATCATCCTATAACTACACACTGAACATGAAGATTCTTACCAGAAGTATTTCTACATAAAAAAGGTTTCTGTACATTTTCTTTGTGTAGACCATAGTCCTGTCATCTGTGTGTAATTATAACTACTGCCCTTTTAGCTCACAAGGGTCTCACTTTGGGTGAAACACCATGTGCTCTTCCTGTTTAATTGTGTTTATATAAGCAAAGAGCAGAAGCCATCTGGTAAACTGTGGCCCGGGGAGATCCTAAAATAGACCACATTTTTTTCTTGTTCTAAAGTTGGGGAATAATTGGAATCACTGGACAGTGGCTCAGCACTCGCTTCATTTTCTTTCTGTGGTTTGCTAGAAGGAGAGTTACAAGTGGTCAGCTTGGTGATAGAAAGATCTACTAACCTGACGGAATTGCCACACGGCTGTGTGTGTGCTGGGAAGTGTGTCCCATTTTCTGTCACATGCTCCAAGGTGGCAGAGCACCAGGGAGCCTCAGAATCAGTGTGCCCTTCACAAGTTCCTGGTCCCTGCTGTCCTGTTGTGCTCTTCACGATCAACTCTGGAAGAAATTCACTCCAAGCAGCACTCTTATGATTAGCATGCTTCTATGAAGCTAAAGTTGTTCAGTGAACATTTTTCATCGAACCACATGAGATGTTGACAAAGTCTCTGGAGCGGGGAAGGTGCCTGAGAGGACAGCCCATTTCTAGGGTTGGAGAAGGATTCCGATATTTAAAGCCAGGGTAATGGGCTTCTTGCCAATTTTTGACCTGAGGAAATGACTATTTCTTATTTTTTAACTTAATGATCTCACAAATAAATTTAACTCATATTGAGACCTTGCTCCATCATACAGGAGGCTGTTGGAATATTTTTCCCTCCTCATTTTAGATGAATTTGGAGACCGGCGAACCAGATAGTTAGCTGACTAATGAATTGCACAGAGTCACTGAGGCATTCAGCAGCACAGTGGGTGCACAGTGGGACAGCAGGACCCACAGTTTGAATAGCGGTGTCTGTCTTGGAGAGCAGGTGGGTGGACAGGGAAGACCTCAGCTCCATTTGCTCAGGCGCTTTTCTTCCTGATTATCTTCTCTTCCTGCTCTTAAATGATTTCTTTTTTTTCAAGAGGGAAGGGAGAAAAGATTTCTCAAAGCTACCAGCAGAAAAGTGTGTGCCGTCAGAGTGCAGAGCATCCAGGTCCTGAGACAGGGTGCAAACAGCCTCTGCGCCCTGCACGCAGCTGGGCTTCTGCTGCGTCCTCCAGGGCAGGCTGAGCGGCTAAAGGATGTTTGCTTTGCTTGCTGTTGTTTCCTTAAAGAAAAATGCAGCGAATTTTTGAAGTGATAACTGTTAGAGAAAAAAAAACAGGTAGTTGCTCAATTTTAAATAACTGCCTAACTAGGGGGCAGAGTCCCAGGAGAGGGTTGACGGGAAATAGCATGTGCTTTCTTTAGTTGCCTGTATTTTAACTTTAGACAAGAAAAATGAAATGTATGTGCCCAAGTATGTGCAAGTATGTCTAGACCTAGAAGGCCTACCTTGATAGGTGGGTAGACTTCTTTAAAACAATGTATAAAAACTCTAATATAATAATAGTTTATATACATGGGCAGTTAGAATTATACATTTTAATCTAATGATAAGGGGACAGAGGCTTTCTCAGAAGAAAAAGCACATAATGAATATAACTCAACTCATACTTAGTATTTTTGGTCCCAGAGTAATTCTTATTTATGTTTATTTAAATGTCTTTGAAATTTTTATTCCAAAGCTAGTTTTCTGGGATAAATGATAGATGCTTGCAGATAGGTTATCTGTTGCCTTCCTATCTCACAGTTGAGGAATCCAAAGCCCTGAAGAGACGCGGTGGTTCTCCTGTATTTCCACTTGTTATTTTGTCCCATAGACTACACTATTCACTTGTTTTCATGAGTTTTCAAAATTCATGACCACCAATAATAAAGTTTTTTTAATATAAGAAATTGTCAGGTGGGCATGGAGGTGCACTCCTGTAAGCGCTTGGGAGGTTGAGGCAGGAAGACCACGAATTCAAAGCCAGCCTGGGGTACGTAGTGAACTCAAGACCAGCATGGGGAGACTCTGTATCACACACACAAAAAAGAATGTGTCTGACCTGAGATCAAAGGTGATTGATTGATTACATTTAAATTTTCTGTATTCCCAGATTGTTCCAAGAAGAGACAATTTTATTTTTTTCAATACAAGTTTGCTAGATATGACTAGATGCTTCAGAAGTTAAGAAGTAAATATTGAAATCTTGTTTGTCAATTTTAGACTTTATTCAGCTATAATTCACGTACCATAAACACCATCTTGAAGTGTCTAATTCATTGGCTTTTAGTACATGCACATTTTGTGCATACTTTTCCAGAACATTTTCATCTTTGCTTCTCATAAACCCACTCCTATTAGCAGTCATTTATCAGATTTCATTGCCCCTTGTTCCTGGAATCACTACTCAACTCTGTAAGGATTTGCTTATCCTGAATATTTGCTATTAATGGAATTACACAGTATGCAGATTTTGTGTATGACTCTTTCACTCAGAATGTTCTCAACACGTACCCACGTTCTAGCATGTATCAGTGCTTGGTGCTTTGGGTGGTCATAAAGCATCCTTATCACTCAGTATCCTTCGGGCATTAGTTCCAAGATCACCCTTGTTTGGATCCCCAGATCTGGATTCCAACTCTGGATTCAGTTCCTTATATAAAATGGCATAGCATTTGTATGCACCTAAGTACCTCATGTATACCTTAAAGTGTCTCGAGATTACTTATATTACCTACTACAGTGTACATGGTGTATAAATAGTGGTTATACTAAATAATAGTGTGAGGTTGCAATCCAGATTCATCATTAGGCAATAACAAGAAGGAAATCTGTACATGTGTAGCACAGATACAATTTTTTCCAAATATTTTTGATCCTTAGTTGTTAGAATCCAGGGACATGGCATGTGGATGGTATTTGACTGTATGGATAAACAACATTTTGCTTAGTTATCCTCAGGTTAATGGACATTTCAGTTATTTCTACTTTTTTTGCTGTTGTGAATAATAGTGCTATAAACACTTATGTACAGGTGTTTAGAACATACACTTTTAATTCTCTTGTTGATGCCTAATAGTGGAATTACTACATCACATGGTAAGTCTATATTAACATTTTAGAAGCTGCCAGTTTATTTCCACAGTGACTATACCATTATATTTCTACCAGAAATGCATCTTCTCCAATATTTATATCTTCTGATAATAAAATAGGCATCTTAATGGAGTTAAAAATGTAGATCCTTGTGGAATTCATATACATTTCCATAATGACTAATAACTTTGAGCCTTCTTACATGTGTCGATTGATCATTTGCATATTTTCTTGAGAGAAATATCTATTTGAGTTCTTTGCCCATGCTTAAAATTGGAATTTCTTATTGATCATCTGCAAAATTTCTTATACATCCTGGATACATGTCCCTGAGGCATATAAATACTTTCATTGGTTGCTTGGGCTGTGTTTTCACATTCTTTATGATAAACTTTGAGATATAAAGGTTTTGAACTTAGATGAAGTCCAACTTACTGAGTTATTTTATTTTGGCACTTGTTCTTTTAGCATTATATCTTAAGAATCCATTTCCTAATCCAAAGTCACAAAGATTTACTCTTATCTTTTCTTGAAGGAGTTCTACAGTTTTAATTCTTACAGGCAGCTCTATTATCCCTTTACAGTGATTTTTATACATATGGTGATAGATCGGGGTTCAGACTCCTTTTTTCTACATAGAGTCATTCAATTGTTTTGATGTTATTTGTTGAGCCCATTTTTTCTTCTCCATTGAATGATCTTGCATTTACATTAAAAATCAGTTCAAGGGCTGGGCAGAATAAAACGAATTAAGATGTGCTTTATTCATGCCCCAATTTCCCACCATGAAAATTTTCATTATGTATTGTAAACGTGTACTAATAACAATATAAATTAGAGAAAATAGAAAAAAATAATTAAGCATAGTGTTAATGACATATTTTTGCACTTAATTTTCTTCTAGCCATCTACATGTCTATCTTATGTTACTACCACATTGTCTTGATGACTGAAGCTTTGTATTAAGTTTTCATATCAGGAAGCATGAGTCCTTATACTTGTGTTTGAGGTTGTTTTGTATGTTTCGAGTCCTTCACATTTCCACGTGAATGTTAGGATCAAGTTTTCAATTTTTGCAAAATTATATTTTAAAAAGTTAGCTTGGAATTTTCAATATTAACTGAGGAGTAGTTAATAATAATAAGCCTGCCATGATAAAGTAGTGCATGCCTATGCTCGCAGCACTTGGGGAATGGTGGTGGTGGCTGAGGCAGAAGGATGACCTTGAGTTTGAAGTCAGCCTGGGCTACATAGTGAGTTCAAGGCCAGCCTGGGTTACGAAGGAAGTCCTTGTCTCAAAAGCCTCAAAATAATAATAATAATAATAATAATAATAATAATGCCTAGGTATCAGAAACAGAAACCTCAGCCCTTAATCTTAAAAGAATCAATAATCCAGGAGTTACACAAACACGTCAGTCATGTTTGCTGTCTGTGGACTTCACACCGCTCTTCAGTACACATTCAGTTGCGGCAGTGCTGTCTGAAGCACCTCTCTCCCAGCCACGGGGTCGGGCCCTCTTGGACCGCCTGTTGGGAGGCTGTGGGCTGCTGTTTCCTGCTGCTACCGCTGCACAGTTGTGAGCTGGAGTGAGACAGATGTGAGGACAGCCGCACGCCAGAGCCCGTACTTCCTGCATTTGCGGGCTGCACTCAGACACAGATCTCTCTTGGAGCCCCATGGCCTTCCAGTCTCCTGGGCCCTGGTCACTCAGGAGGCCCTGTACCCGTAGGGTGCTCCCCGTCCACCCAGAGACCCCAGACCAACCCTGAGCAAGCACAGCAGTGAAGCTTCTTGTTTCTCCTCCGGGCTGAAGTAGGCCTTCTCCACGGAGACCCACACCCCACCTGGAGGAGGGAGCCCCCCTCAGCTTTGCTCTTTCTTGGCTATTCTCCTTTAGCTATAGTTTTCCTAAACTTGATTCTGTATATTTGTCAGAATTTGAAGTTTTTATGATACTTCTTTCATTAACCCACTGTGATTGGACACACACTGATACAAACAGCAGTTATGAGTGAGAATATGATAAGTAGTTGTTGTAGTCAGGGGTTACAAGGAGAACAATTATACACAGGACACAGAATTTATAGTGTTATTTTACGATGGTCACCCAGAGTTAAAAACAAAAAAGTACAGGAAATCTGTCCACGACACTGAAGACCTAGAAAGTTCAATGGAGGGCCTGGATCCCACAGCAATGTCCTGCATGGGTCCAGCTGAAGACCTAGAGACCATGACAATGCTTCCCACGAATCCAGCTGGAGGCCTAGAGCTCACAACAAGGACTCATGCAAGTCCGTTTTATGCATCCATGTGGGAAGGCCCAAACGTCAGCAGTGGAAGTTAGAATGTTTATGCCAGCTGAGTGAAGGATCTGTGCCAGTAGGTTAAGGGTTCTACATTGGAGCCAGAAAGTGACACTCCAAATAAGGAACAGGACTCCCCTGAAAAATATCACAGTTGTCCTTAGCAACAATCAGATCCTGAGCTCCTCTGCATGAGAACAGTCAAGTACCTATCAGGAAGGCAGCATGACAACTTCTGAAGAGTAAACAGCAAACATCTTCCCCTCCAGAGCCAGAAAGTGATGTTCAACATAAGGACAAGAGCTACCCTAAAGGGAACCCCAGCCTTTCTTGCATCAGGGTCCCGAGCTCCTCCAATGAGAATGGCCAAATCCATATCCAGGAAGCCAGCATGACAAGCTCCTCCGAGGAACCAACAGCTCCAAACAGCAACACTTAGTGTTATCTGCAACACGTCTTCCTCTCCATGGCCCCTTCTATGCTGGCAACTTTCTTCGGGTGGGCCATCTATACTCAGCACCATGCTGATTTAATTCAGCGGGTGTTAAGCTGACCACCAGTTTTTAATCCACATCAGTAGTGTCCCTATCTCTCTCTGTCTCTCTTCTGAAGTACTGGGTGTTGAACCAAGGCCTTCACATTGAGCTGTACCCCCAGTTCTTTTTTGTTTTGAGATAGGGTCATGTTAAATCAGTAAGTTGCCTACCATGGCTCAAACTTGTGATCCTCCTGCTTCAGCCTCCCATAGCACTGCGATTACAGGCACAAGCCACCACACCAGCTCAGGAAGTAGTATTTTAAGAGCTGACAGTGAGATGAGGGTTTGGAGCCTGAGGTCCGTGGGCAGGATCAGGAAATTCTGACCTAACGAGGGAGTGTACTTTGGCACGACCCTGCAGCAGACAAGGGTTATCTCTAAACTTGGCACCAGGGAGTTTATATTTCTAAGACAGTTGCTTCAGATCTGACTGTGAATGGAGCTGTACTATTTTTCCAAACCACTGCCATTTCCTCCTAACTGAAGAGTCATTTGGGGTTTGCTGCCCAAAAGGGTAGGAGAGACAACTGGGCCAGGCAGTTCCTGACCCCAAAGGAGACTTTTATATTGCATCATCTCCTTGGAATTTCTTCACCAAATGTTTCAAAGAAAGGCTTTGATGGTTCAAAATGAACACCCACAGCCATATGTACCGATTAATTCCCTCGCCAAATGTTTTCATACTGTAAGGCGGCTGTGGCTCTGTGCTGGAAGGACTCCCGTCCTTTGAGGCACCCTCACGCTTGTATCCCCCGGTGTGAATGCTAAATATGCAACTTTTCAGTTCCCTTTTTGCTTGCCAAAGCCTCCTAATTTCCCTTCACCTCTTCACAAATATCTAGTCAACAACTGTGATTGTCGGGGCTTTTCAGGGCATCACCCCTGCTTTTCAGAGCAGACTCAGCATGATTGGGAGCTGATTAGAAAATCGAATTCATGTTTCTCCTCTTGGACTTCCGGCCCACAGTTTCTATAATGTGAGGCCTGAACGTGTGTTCACGTGCTTTCTTGGTGATTCCTGTCACCCTAACATGTGCAAAACACTAATGATGATCTTACCCATTGCATTTCACTTTAGACACCCTCTAGATTTTAAAAAGGATCTGAGATCTTAAAAGGCATCTGATCCATTCCAAATAGGAATGAGTGTCTCTAACATCCTGGACAGACTGGCCCCTCATGCTGCTTTAATGTTTTATGTTTTAATAGATGAGAATTCACCACCTCACAAATCAACTGGTTATAACCAGGGGCAATGCTAATTACTGGAAATGTTATTTATTATGCCTTCATCCAGATTGACCTAATTGCTCCCTTTATTCATTGTCTGTGGTCCTGTTCTTAAAAAGCATGAAATACATCTTGTTTCACCTGCGTGTGGTGGTGCACACCTGGGATCCCAGCACTAGGGAGGCTGAAGCAGGAGGATCACCGTGAGTTGAAGCCAGCCTGGCCTATACAGTGAGTTTAAGGGCAGCCTGAACTACATAGCAAGATCCTGTCTTAAAAACCAAAATCAATCAGTCAGTCAATCTGGTTTCTTGAATATCTTTTGAGAATTTGTATTTTCAAGAGGGAACATTCTTACTTTCTGTACTTTCCCCATTTGATGATGAGTTTTTGGATTAAAGGCTATCAGAATGGATTTACACACCAATATTCTGCTCAAACCACCTCCAGAGGCAGTTACAAAGCACTCTGGGTGGTCCAGTGAAGGCATCACGTGAAGTGGCCAACGATTCTGTATGTTAAAAAATTGGATTCCAAGCCTGATTTGCCACAGTGCGCTTGGGCAGAGCACTTAGTTTCTCTGAGTTAAAGCTCGGATTACTACTGTATGTGGCACTAAAGCTGAGGAAATGCTAATATCTTAAAGACAGATGTAGCCAATAGCACCTCCGAAAAGAATTTAAACAGAGGTGTGTGTGGGGGGAGGCAGAGGATGTGGAGAAAGTGTGGCGGTCTGTGGGCCCCTCTGTTGACAGGTGTGTCCTGCGGGGCTCCAGGGCCAGTGTCACTCACCTGAGTGCGTCCAGAGCTCCCGGCTCAGCTGCTTCTGGAGGTGGCAGTGTTCTGATGATGTCAAGATTACAGGAGGACCAGGAGTCCAAAACTGGGGCGCCTGGGCCTGCATGCAGAAGGCTGCTGGGCAGGAGAGGAGCTGGACACTGATGTCTGTGTCTGCCTGGTCTGGGCAGGGTGCAGCCTGGCGCAGCTGGCTGAAGCACAGGACCACTATGTGTTGGCAGAGTCAAGTGACACGGAATGGTCGACACAAAAGCAAACATGTAAATAAGCCAAACCCAGGAGGATGCTTCAGGTGCAGGAGAAAGTGGAACTTAAAACTGGTTAAGGAAAAGGGATGTGTTTGTTACTCATCTACAAAGCGAGAAGGGGAACCACTGGCCAGAATGGCGTCACTGAGGCCTGACTCTGCTCCTTCTCTGGGATCCGTGGCTTCCCGAGTTGAGTGTACCCAGTTTGCTTTCCCGAGGTCACCGGAGGCTCCTCACCCACTGCTTGGAAAGAGAGCTCTTGGCTTTCCTTGGCTTTGCCTAGGCTCAGCACTGTCAGAGGATGTGTTCCTTGAGTCCCTGGCTGCTGAAGGCAGAGTGACCTCTCACCTCTGAGAGTGACCACTGCCCGCTCACTGTCCTGCACTGCCCCACAGATGCCCAGATAGCTGGAGGACAGCTTCACCCTTCTCTTCCCTGCCCAGAGGAGGAAGGGGCCAGGCTGGTGAGGGTCCCAGGAGCCCAGCTGTGGGTTTGCTCCTGCAAGGAGATGGGAAGGACCTGCGTCTTTCAGAACCATCTGCAGTGAAGTCCCAGCTGCCTGAGGACAGCAACACCTTCTGCTCCAGAGGGTAACTTTGTGCTTACTTCTATCCATTGTAGGGTTTCTTTTTAAATGGATTTCAATAGTCTGTTGACTTAGATTGAAAAAAAAAAAAACCCTCACCTTTCTGTTACTCTTGTATAAGGAAGCAGTGATTTCTTGATTGTCAGTTTGCATCCAGATTATATAAAGAATACTTATAACTCAATAATCAGGAGACAAGCTGGCCAGTTAAAAATGTATAAAAGGTTTAAATAGGCTCTGTTTAAACAGGTTTAAACAGGGAAGATGTATAAATGGGTAATAAACTCATGATGGAATGTCCAGCCTTTCAGCCCTGGGTCACAATGAGCTATTATTATTTGGCCATCACAAAAAAGGTTGACCTTGTGGAGCTTTCATTAAAATACATGGAAATGGGGAATCTCGTCCACTGCTGACACTGGGAATACAGTGACACGGTGGCTTTGGAAAACAGTTTGGCAGTTCCTCAGAAAACTAAATATAGAATTACCCCGTGGCCTAGCAATCCCACTTGGTGCATATCCAAGAGGCCTGGGAATGTGTGTCCATATAGACGTTTGCACATAAATGTTAACAGCAGCATAATTTATAATATCCAAAAAGCTTTTTTGTCTTTTTGGTACTGGGAATCAAACTCAGGACCCCGAATTTGCCCATGGTCAAAAATCATAAACATCCAGGACTGCTGAATGGATAAACAAAATGCGTGTGTCCGTCTGCCAGTGAGCACTTTCAAGACTAACAAGGTCATTCTTTGCCTGGGTTGAATTAAAGTCTCTCCCTGCAGCCTTCCTTGGGAGCAGAGAAGAAGTGAGCTTTGGAAGGTGTGGGCTGTGTGACAAGATGACTCCAGTCTCTCCACGCCCCAAGGTCCTGCGTCGCCCTTGCCCGGCAGCCTGCAGAAGCCTCGTGGCTACACTGTTCCCCTGAGGGGCCGGGAGCTGGAGGAAGCAGAGTCTACAGGACTTGTGGAAACGATTGTCAGATTTGTAGGCATGGGGATTTCAAAACTGTTTCTTAGGTGTTTATGTTTCTCCAAAGGAATCCCCTCTGCCTCCCCAAAGCTTTACAGAAGCAGCTTCCCCCAAAAGTGTGTGTGGAAATGCGTGCACAAGTGCTTTGCTACGGGCATTGGAGGGCGGGATGGAGAAATCTAGATTCTGCTCCCTGTGTGGAACTCGGCCACAGGAAGTTGTGGTTGCAAACGGCCCCTAAATTGAAGAAAAGTCAAATGTGGTCACAGAGGCATCAGCTTTCTGAAAAATTCCTGGAAATTTGAGGGGGACAGTATCCGAAAATGAAAGTATCAAAACATTCTGCTTGATGAATAGATAAAGAAAATGTGGTATTTACACACAACAGAGTCAGGGTACTACTTGGTCACAAAGATCGATGGAACCAAGGTGTTTATGAGTAAATGGCTGCACCTCAAGATCATGATGTTAAGTGAAGGAATAGGGTAAGGTGTAGATTGGATTTTTTTGTTGTTGTTGTTTTTTTTGAGACAGGGTCTTGCTCTGCCTTGAGCAAAGTGAGCCTTGAGCTGGTCTTGAACTCGGGCAACTATCCTCCCACCTCAGCCTCCCGAGTGCTGGGATTACAGGTGTGAGCCACCACGCCAGGCTGGATTGGATTTTTTGTTTGTTCATTTTGTGTTTGTGTTTTCTGAGACTGGATCTCATTACCTAGTTCAGGCTGACCTTGAACTCACTATTTAGCCTAGAATGGCCTCGAATTTGCAGCAGTCCTCCTGCCTCAGCCTCCACACCTGCAATAAGATGTATATTTGGAAAGGTCAGACGTATTTATAATTTTGGCTATGTTAATACTATAAACCTAACACAAGAAAATCTTTAGAGGAGAGAATGATCGTATGTGTATATGGACAAAGCTTCCCTATGCTGACATTATCTTTAGTCTTAAGAAGATTAAAGGACTTGGGCCAAATCAAGCTGTGTACTTGGGAACAGACATTCTGTTTACACCCTGACCTGCTTCCACCCCGGGCCTGCTCTGCAGGCTCATTCCCTGGACCTTCTTGGTCTCTAAGTACCGGCTCCTGCTGCTGTTTGTCAGTGGGGCCTGGTTTCTCTGTCTCGGCAGTCAGCTCTCAGCCGCAGTCCCTGGGCCCGCATGGAATCGGGCGGTGAACAGGCTGTTGCAGCAGCAGCTGCTCCCAAGTAAAGAGGAGTGCAGCGGGCTGCGGGCAGCGGGCAGGGTGTGGTGAAGGCCCGGCCCGTGCGTCCCAGCACAGCCATGCTTCATCTTCTGCCCTTGGCCTTGGTGGCTGCGCTGGGCCCCTGAACACCAGGACCTTCTGGAGGCCCTGACTTTGTACTGGGCCTGAGCGGCCGCCCCAGAAACTCACAAGTTCTGGGTCCAAATCCCAGAGAAGGAGCTGCTTAGCTTTCCTAGTACTGGTAGGCTCCACTAAGCTCTCATGGCCAGCTCAGTTATTTCTGTTCCATCTTCTGCTCCACCAACTCTGTATGTCTCATCACTGTCCATGCTTTGTTTTCCTTATGCTTCATCTCCTTTTAATTTTTCCCTTTTTTTTCTTCACAGTTTGGGGCTTAAAAGAAAGACATAGAGATATATCAGATGCCGGGTATGGCGAACGCCTGTAGTCCCAGCACTCAGGAGGCTGAGGCAGGAGGATCGATATTAAATTGAGACCAGTCTCAGGTCCATAGTGAGACCCTGTCTCAAAAAACAAACAAACAAAAAAAGAAACAAAGACAAATGTTGAATTAGTTGAGTTAACTGGAGGTCTGTGTCTTTTTCGTCTCCACCCATATGTGTCCATGGGGTACATGTGACATTCCCTAAAATAATCGGTCAGAAAGTTTGAATAATATATATTTCTGTTCAAATAGCAAGAGGCAGAGTCAGGGCAGTGACTCTTGGGCCTGCTACAAGAGTCTAGGTGTGTGTGACTGGAGGGTGTGAGAATCTCCTGACTTCGGGTGCCATCCTGGGGCAAGGCAGTGCTCTGGGCCTCGGCCTGGGCTCTCATCCTGTGTTCAGCTTGTGATGACTCTGTTTTTTGCTTTTTTGGTACCGGGAATTGAACTCATGACCTTGCTCTCACCAGGCAGGCACTTGTGCTGCTGAGCTATAGCCCTATCTCCGATCCTTCTAGTTTTTGGACATTTCTTATCTCAAGAAAAGGTAATCCTGGGAAGGTCAGGGCTTGGAAATGGAAAGGAGCAACATGGAGTGTGTGACATTCAAGAAATGCTGCAGGGGAAATGAAGTCTGCAGCTGGCTCTGCAAACAAAACAAACCAAACCAGATCAAAACCAAAGCAAAGCACACACACACACACACACACACACACACACACACACAGCTCAGGAGTGTGACTTGCAGAGGGGAGGTCACAGAGGGAACAGTTTAGTCACGCGGGTAGAGCGTGGGAAAGGAAAACAGAACTAAAAAGCCACTTGCACTGTTAGTAGCTATCAGGGCTGATCCCGGACAGGGAGGACAGAGGTCAGGAATGAGGATGCTGGTCAGCTTTCCGAGGAGAAATTTATGATTCCGTCTTTAAATCATCTGCAGTATTCTCACATCCTTATAAAACCATGGTGGTAAAACTAGGGCGATGCCACACGGGCCTGGCCATGCTGTGGGCAATGTACTGTAATTTATGGAGCACAGGAGGCCATGTGTGCTGGCCTACAAAGACTGCTGGAATCGCTGCGCTGGGCGTGGTGGGGTGACTCTGGGTGTGACAGGAAGACAGCGCCTCAAAGCAAAATTACTGTGCTTATATGTGTATAGTATTTAATTTTAAAACCATTTATTTTCTCTACTTTATTGCATATATAAAAGTATTTGTATGACACAAGGATACTGCCATGGCCACTTGGACGGCAAACATTAGTGCACAGCCCACAGCTCTTACTGTTGACATATTTTATGCAGGTCTGATAAGCATGCAGAAAAGCAATCCTATTTTAATAGTAAAAAGTTAGTAACTTGACACTCCCAGGTCACCCAACCTACATCAAGACGCAGGAAATCCCGGTGTTGCCGGAGGGATTTGAGACCACTCAGCAAACCTGCAACCATCCTGGGTGCTACATTTGACCCCTTTTCCGTATTTCATGTTGTAGATATATTATGTTTCTAATTTATTTATTTCTTTAATTTTGAAGAGAGCGCTCACTATGATGGGTTGGTTGAGCAGATACTGGAGGGCTGGGATGAGCTCCACCATGCTGGATCCAGGCGACCTAAGGACCTCACAACTGGCTGTGAGAGGCACCTGGATGGCCCAGTCCGGCTACACAGCTGCTCCTGAGACCCGGCTAGCTGATAGGCAATGCTGAGGTGTGGGGTGCTGGTGGGGAGCAAATAGGAGCAGGAGAGGGCAGCAAGGGCACCCCTGTGCTCTCCCCTGGGGTCTTTTGCCTCCTTGGTCCCCTGGGCAGGGCCTGACACATGGTCACCCACTCAGTGGACTGATAAGTGTGGACCCAGCCTCAGCACTAGCAGCAGAGCACAGGCAGGCGGCTTGGAGCTGAGAAAAAACAACTGGAGAACACGCACTTGCTTCTGAGTCTCGGTTATGTCCAGCACTGCTGCAGTGGACATTCTGGTCTGTGTCTTTCGATGGACCTAGATTGGTGTTTCTGTTGGGTCTGCACCCAGGAGTGGCCCGCTGAATCGCGCTACTTCTGCGCCTGTGCCCAGGGGTCCCTGGGCTGTGTGTGAAGTTACCATGCTCTGCACATGGCGTCTGCAGGGCCACTAGTCCTTTGTCAGATGTCTGCACTGCACTGGCAGGATCCTATTCTATGACCTGCATGTCACTTCTTCACGGTGTCTTTTGATGGAAAGTTAAGATTGGTCAAAATGTTAAAAATTCTCTTTGTAGCTTTCACATTTTGAGTCCCACTGTAAAGCATTTTTGCTACTTTAAGTTTACGTAAATATTCTTCCATATTTTTCCCTGAATGCCTTTTAAACCACCTTTCACATGAAAACTAGAAATCTTTTGGAAATTTACTGAGTACATAGCATGAAATAATGATCTAGACATGTTTTAAAAACACCAAAACACACTGACTCAGCACTCTACTGACAAGAACGACCTTTGCCATCTGCCCTGCAGTGACCTGCTGTGTGTGCGTGGGTTTCTGGCCTCCATCGTTGGTCACAGTATTAATTTTCTACTGTTGCTTTTGCAAACTGACACAAAACTGGTGGCTTAAAGCAGCATTTGTCAGGGCGGAGACACAGCTTGGGGGAGGAGGAGTTGCCTTGCAAGAGCCAGGCTCTCGGTTTAAATTCCAGGACCAAAAAAAGTGTAAATAAATAAGCAACAGGAAACAGAAGGCAAGTAGACTCCTGTATTCAAGCCCAATTCAGTGGCTCAGATGAGGGGGCAGGCTCTAGGGACCAGGCCTCCTCCTGGGCAGTGCCCCAGGCCACTTTGGATCCCGGCCCCTGGGCACCTGGCTGCTTAGGTTCTCCTAGCCCTGAAGCCTTTCCTCTGCACTGAAGAGCCTGGGGTTGCACCCCCATACACCCCCGTTTGGGGGTCATCTGATCAGTAACCCAGTGAGCCCTGCCCTGCTCAGACTGGCCAGGATCAAATGAGAGTGAGCAGGAATGGAGGTCCCGATGGGCGAGGCCGGGCTCTGCTTCTGGTGGCCTCTCCTTGTGGTCCTAGTGTCCTGTCTCTGTGACCAGGGTTTCACAGCAGGCCATGCTGTTCACTGTGTTGTTAAAGGTTAGAATTGGAGTAAGAGGGAGACTAGGAGAGAAGCAGAAAAGCCCCTGAGAGATAGCGTCAAACTGCCCTCTAAAAATGTGCAACCATTAGGTGGCACAGGAGAAGGCCTGGCACCCCAGCATTCAGGAGGCTGAGGTGGGAGGACCCAGCTGGGGCCGTGTCATGAGTTCAAGGCTAGCCTGGACTATACAGATAGCCTGTCTCAAGACACCAAAAGAAAGAGAGAGAGAAAGGAAAAAAAAAAGAAAAAGCAACAGTAATATATGTGTCCCAGCCCCCATGGTGAATGTCATCATCACATCCTGAAACATGTACTTATTAGGAGTTTTTGACATAACGGGGAGAGAGAGAGAGAGAGAGAGAGAGAGAGAGAGAGAGAGAGAGAGAGGTCTTTATTGTGGGCACGCATGGGAGGGCTGAAGAGTGCAAGATCCCTCAAAAAGATCCCTCAAAAAGGGGGTGCTGGGGAATAGCCTTTATGGAGCTGGGCTGGGGGTGCAATGCTTGGGTGAATGCGGAGACTTGGGCTAGACGAGGGCTCAGTGCACCTGCAAAACTGGAGCGGGAGGTCTATTTTTCCTAGAACTAGAACCACACAGCACCGAAGTTACTTTGGAGAGATAAACTGTTTCTTGGGCCGGGGCCCAGATGGGCGGATGTCATGTTAGAGATAGCTAAGCCACAGGCTGGCAGAAGCAATCAGCACCAAGAAAGGTAAAAATTTAAAACATGTGCCAACAATTTACTGTGCATTAATAGTATATGATAAAGGCCTGTTTTCCTCTACTAAATGCTAGGTTTTAGCAAATGCTCATCTGATGATTATGTGCTTTTGTCATTTTAATTTTCATTTTTAAATCTAAGAATAAAATTAAGCATTTTATATTTGTAGGTTAGATCCATTTTTGTCTTATTCATGTCCAGTTGCCAACTGTTTTTTCTTTATTTTTTAAATTTTATTTTAAATAGAATAAAACCGAGCAAACTAAAACAGAATAAAGCTAATCAAAACAAAACAGCATAAGTGACACAGGACTTCAAAACAAGATAACAGGAGATCAATAGTGGTTACCAAAATGACTCTGGTCTTCAAAATAGCTGCCCATACCTTCAGACATAGTAAAACCAAACAAAACAGAACAGAATAAAACCAATAAAGAAAAAATAATGAATGCAATATGGAACTTCAATACAAGACAATAGTAAATCCAAAATAGTTACCATATCTTGTTACCTTTGAAATAGCTGCCCATGCTATCATATATAATAAAATCAAACAAGACAAAATGGAATAAAACCCAACCAAACAATGAAAATGATACAGGACTGCAAAACAAGATTAATAGGGAATTAACAATGGCTATCACCTTCAGAAGATCCCCAACAGATGCTACACTGCATATCATTATCCTCTTAATAATAATCATTATCTTTGCTGGTGATTTGACTACCAGCAAAGTCAGTGAAACACGAAACACCAGAAGCATTAAGTTGTATCTTACCTTATTAGCCATCATTACAGCCTGTGTTTCTCCAGATCAGCCAATCGCTTACCTGGGAAGGGGCACTGGCTCTTCTTGTCTCCCTGCCCACACCCAGGAAGCAGCAGGCATCTGGCCCTTCCCCACAGTCAGGCCACGCATGGTGCCGACTCACAGGAGGCCTTAGCTTCTTGCTGACTTCTGTGTATTTTTATTCTTTTATGCCAGGTCTTTCTTTGATTTAAAAGATCATCCACAAACCACCATGTCTGTAGACCTGCTTTCCACTCATGGCTGTGATGCAGGGTTGGATTCTATCTGGGAGCTGTTGGTGCTGGGTCAGTGTTCCGCCCAGACATGTGCATCATGCTCTTGCTCCCCCTGCTCTGGGATGTGTGATCCTCTCAAGTCATCAGGTCCATTGCAGGCACACAATGTGGGTCTTTCTCAGGTCAGGTGTTGCTGTCCCGTAGATGGCTCTTATCTCAGAAGCCAAGGAGGCGAGAGGCTGAAGTCAGTCTCCAAGACCTTGCCCCTGAGCTGCAGGAGCCAGGGGACCTGGAAGGGGGTGTGTTCCTCTGTTATCCCTGTCTCAGTGCCCGGACCAGGTCTCCTCTCCCTGGACCCAGCAGACTGGACTTGGGCACTAAAGGATTTTAGTTTTTTGCCATACAGAAGGTATACAATTTTATGAATTTAATGGCTTTGTGCCTTGAGTCATGCTTATAAATGCTTTTCCACTGTCAAGATTAAAACAGAATCCCTGAACCAGGTGAGCTGGCACACACCGGTAATCCCAGCTAATTTGAGAGACTGAGACGGGTATTCGAAATCAAGGCTGGCCTGGGTAATTTGGAACGGATTTGTTTTTTTGTAAAGGGCTGGGCATGTGGCTCAGGTATCATAGGTTCAAATCTCAGTAATGAAAATAAACAAACCTACATCAGGAGCCCTGGAATTTTTCTCAGTATCTTATGGTTTCTGTTTTGTTTTGTTTAAATCTTTATTTCTAAGTTTAAGTTTATTTCGGTATGAAGAGCTAAGCCAGTTTTTGAGGAATCTTATAAAGGTGTAAAAGCTTCTTCATTGTTTGAAGGCAATTTCCTCTGTCCCCACCTCCACCCTTCTCTAGAGTTTTTCAGTTTTGGTTTTGGTTTTTGAGACGGGGTCTCATTATGTAGTCCAGGCTGGTCTCAAACTCACAATCCTCCTGCTTCAGCCACCTGAATGAAGGGATTACAGGTGTGCGCTGTAAAGAGTTTAGAATGTGTGAATTGCAAAGTGCTCCTAATTCCAGCATAAAGCGACTGAGTCTTCTCTGTCTGCTGCTTTGGTAACTTGTAGGCCAGCTGTAACTCACTGCAAACTTCTTGGGTACAGCTGGTTTAGTCACAGCACATGAAATGCTCAGAATTCCCAGACGGTAGACCACGTCTCTTCCCTACACTGTGGAAGAGCTAGCAGGAAGCCGTGCAACTCAGTCTTGTAGTCCACTAGGTCATGCACAAGGAAGTTCTTAGCCCTGTCATGATCTATTCAAGAATGAAAGCTTTATTTCAACAGGCTCTACCAAAAGGAACCCAGTCTCAGAGGGTGACCTGTGGACAGGTCTGTGTGCAAACGCGGTGAGCTGCACCTGAGTGAAATCCTCTCTGAGCTTTCTTACTTCCACAGTGATGCCAAGAACAAAGTGACTTCACCAACTCCCGTGCAGCCTGCCTTCTGGGAGAGTGGGGATAAGACATAGCCTGTCTGAAGAGAAGGAGAAACACCAGGAGAATCGGTTGGCCTTTCGTTTTTCTGAGTGCAGCGGATCCTTCTCCCAGCTTTTCCTCTCCCAGGGAGCCTTCCCGGGACATACACTATTAGAGTTCTTACTAGGCAGCTTCTTTGTACTTCACTTTGCTGCCCACTTCATGAGGGAATGCAAACAAAGTCTCGGGAACCTCAAATGTTGAAAAGGAAGGAAACTAAAAGATCTGGTATGTTTTCCGGTTCAGTTGGCTCACACCAGTGTCCTGGAACGATTCTTCAAAGCTCTGCTTTCTGTGATGGAAAACCTCACTTCCAGGTAAGGTTTTCAATGAGTGACTTTTTTAGGACAGGAAATTTGTTTCCTGTTTCACCGTAAGCTGGCTCATCTTGGGGGGGACGGTCGTGGGGGTGGGTGGACCTGGAGCCACATCACACAGAAGGTTTGTAGGAGCCTGGTGTCACCCCTGAGGCCCGGTGCAGCACCGAGCCCGGCCCCTGGGCCTCTGGCTTAGATGCTGTATCATTATTCTAAGTTTGGTAACACATTACCTCAAACACAGTGATTCAGATGACAGGTGTTTATTGTTTCGTAGTTCCAGAGGCTGGAAATCTAAAAGCATTTCGTTGCAGGGTTGGTTCTTTTTTACAAAATGCTTACAGTCCATCATGGGAGTATATGAGAATTACGTTCACTGTGAGGGGCTGGTCCATGTGCGGCCCTCGGCTAACCCTTTCTACTTCCCTTTCCTTTCCTCTCGCTCTTCCCTCCGTGGTCTCCTCTCAGCTGTGAAAGATCTCCCTTTTTCTTATCTTTTCTTTTGCTCATTATTTTACTCATACTTTGGCTTTCTCATATAAGAGAAATCATGTGATATTTAAGCTTGTGCATTCTTCAGTTAACATTATGGTCTCAAGGCGCGTCTGTTTTCCTATAGTGACTCAAGTTTAATCCTTCTTTATTGCAGCGAGGTATCCATGGAGTGTAAGACCACACTTTCTCTATCTGTTCCTCTGCTGACGGACATGTAGGCTCCTTCCAAGATTCAGCTGTTATGAATTGTGCTGCTGTAATCTGTAATGATTACAGGCATGCATGGATCACTGTAATGCGACGTATTTGACTCCTTGGGGAAGACACCTAGAAGGGGAACAGCTTGGTTGAATGGAATTTCTAGGGTTCTTTTTGAGGGCTGTGAGAAAAGGATTTCATTCTCTCTGGCTGGTAGATACCTCTCATTATGTTCAAGGACTTTCTGTCTCCATATTCCCCCCTCCTCTCTCTGTGTGTGTGTGTTTCTCTAGATTTTTCCCTTTTCATGATACCAGTCATACCAGACTAGGGCCAACCCTAATGACTGAACCTTAACTTGATTCCTTCTCTAAAGAATTTATTTCCAAATAAGGTCGCATTTTGAATTTGGTAGGGGGAAGATAATTCAACTCGTAACAGATCCTTGTGAAAAAACTGGACCTGGAATAAAGGGACAGGTGGCAGCTGTAATCCTAGAGGTTATCAGGACAGTCAACCTTTTGCAGAATTCCTATTGTATTCATCCTTGCTGTGTAACAAATAATGATGAGTTATCAGCACATGATAGACGCGTGGCTCTGCTCTGGGATCCCGAGGGCCAGGAATCTGGACCAAGCGCAGTCCCCACGGCTCCTGCCCGTGGCCATGTGGGGCTTGGTCAGACGAGGGCTGCGGTCGTCTGGAGGTGTCCCCACCCTTGACTCTGGTAGCTGATGTTATCTGGTGGCTGTGGTGTCAGCTGGGATGTCACATGGCCTCTCCTCCTGGCTTGGTGACTTTGGGGCACTCAGGGCTTGAGAAGTTTGTGCCCCAGTGTGGCAGTGAGACCTGCACTGTGCTTTCTTGGTCAGTCACAGAGGCCACACAGCCAATCCAGCTGCATCACATTGGTTAAAAATGAATTATCCTCACACCCAGGTCGAGGGCAGGGGACATAGACAGAAAGCAAGTGGAAGGGACGGACTAACACTGTGGGCCTGAGGAACCTCTTGCTGGGAGCCTGGACTGCAGTCCCCTTGTGCAGCGCAGCATCCCGGGCCTCTGTCCTGCCCAGGCCACCTGCTGGTCCAGGCTCCCAGATCACTGTTCTTGGGTCTGCTCTCCTGAAGCACCAGGCTGTCTGTCCTGCAGCCCTGGCCGCTCATCTTCTGCCTGCCTTGTGCAGAGCTGAGGTTGAGGTGGTCTCGGGTCCCCTCACGTTCAGAGGCTCAGCTATCTGGGGGCTCCTGGGAGTCCTGTCTCCTGGACCAGGGTGCAACATGGACCCCTCCTGCCTCCCACTCCCAGCTCCGGGCACCCTCCCTTCATGCCTCAGTTTCCCCTGCCAGCTGAGATGTGGTGGGAGGGCAGCAGTCAGACTCGGGTCTCGAGATGCTCTGGGCCAAACATCAGTGCCTTATCCCACATCTTTCCAAGACTTGGAGGTCACAGAGGAAACCCCAAGATCAATGCGCCTTGGTTTAACCCTTGCACCTGCAGAAGTAAGCAGAGGATCTGCATCCCCGTAGCGCTGGCCACAAGCCCTATGAGTCCTGGCTGCGTGGAGTGGAGGGCTTTTAGGGGGGAAGTGCGAGACCAGCTGGGCTAGGCTGCAGCAGCAGTTAGGGGAAGTCTGTGCAGAGACCTGGGTGGGGAGCTGCTGGGGAGACACAAACCCATCATGGCCTCCTAGTTCCAAATCCTGGAGCATCCGGCTCTGTGGCATCAGCGGAGGGGTCATTGTGAAATGAATGTGTATTTGTATGATTCTTCTGTAATATTTTCTATGATTAGTTTACTTATTTTGTGCCACTGGGGATTGAACCCAGGGCCCTCACGCTGAGCTACATTCCAAGCTTTCTTACGTTTTATTTTTTGAGGCAGGGTCTCACTAAGTTGCTAAATTGCTCAGGCTGGGTTCAAACTCCTGCTCCTCCTATATCAGCCTCCCAGAAGGCTGTAACAGAGACCTACAGTACCACACCCAGCTAGATCTCAGGCTTTATCTTTTAAAGGAGATAGAAAGCCAGACCTGGTGGTCCACGTCTGTGACCCCAGCACTCTGGAAGGCTGAGACAGAACTGCAAATTCAAGGGCAACTTTGTGACTCAGCAAAACCCTGTCTCTAAATAAAGAACAAAAAGGGCTGGAGATAAAGCTCAGTGTGAAGGCCTTGGGCTCAGTCGCCAGTACTATAGGCAGGGGTGACCCAGGATCTTCAGTTTGCCGTGAAAGGCTCCTTAGGCTCTGGGGCTTGTCTCCTCGGAAACCCTTGTTCTCACCGTCTCCCTGGAGGATCAAGCACCCAGGGAGGGGGACCGGATGAGCAGAGCTTGCCCACATCCTTCCACGTCACTCAGATCAGATTCATTTGGGAAGACAGGAAAGGAAAGCAATGCAAAGTCATACAGAGGCTGGTGTTTCAAAAATCACAATGGACTGGACACTAAGGACTCAAAGTAACTGCCAGCCTGTATCGTCTGCTCCATCTGGTAAAATACAGGGAAAGGACATTTTTTATGCAGTGGGGCTAAAAGAAGGAAAAGCACGCCCAGAGCTTTGTCAGTTCTCTCTGAGTCTGGAGTAGTCGTTAGCAAGGATGGAGTTTGGCAGAGCCTTGGGGTGAGAAGCCACAGGTGGAGGCCAGGAGGATGCCGACTTGTATAATTTTGCTGGAAGCTTGAAATTTAAATTCCCATTGTAAATTGTGGAATAGTACATTTTCTACAGCAGCTATTCTACAATGGATTTTAAAGACAATTATTTTTTGGCAGCGCTGGGAATGACACTTCGCTCTTTTTTTTTTTTTTTTTTTAATCCAGACACAGCCCTCACTGAGCTGCAAGTCGCATTCCTGCCTTAGCCTCCCAAGTCCTGGAATCACAGGCTTCAACATCTGTGCCTAAAAATCACTTTAAACCCTGAAGAAGCAGGGCACTGGGGTCATCATCCACAGTGCTCCCCCGCTCCCACTGACACCTTGGGACCCCCTTAGCCTCCCCATGCTGTCCCGGACTTCGCTTGGGTTGCCTCTCTTCCCTGAATCACAGTCCCATCTTGGTGAAGCCACTTGTGGTCCCTCAGCTAAGGTGGGTGCCTCCTTATCATATATGTAGCATTTATTTTTCTTTTCATTTCTTGCTCATTATGATTGGTAATGATATATTTTTACTTATATATTTAATATTATAATTATATATCTATTTCCGTGTGTTTCTCTGCCTGATTCCTCCCCTGAACGGTTAGCTCCATGAGGGCAGATTAAACGCATTTGATTCATCACTCATAGCAACATCTAGCCCAGCACCTGACCACAGACAGCACCTGATGAATGTCTTTTGAATTGGGGAATAAACCAAAATGTCCATTGGGTTATATATAAATACTCTTAGTATTTCTTAAGAATCTCTTTTTTCCTTCCTGACTGACATTGCCAGGCCAGTAAGAGCAGGAGAGAGAATGAATGCCAGGCAAGTTTGGTGCAGGTGATATGTGGCATAAATTAAGGCAGAAATCAGATTCCTGGGATATGGGCTTTCCTAACACCCTCTGAGTGGTCCTGCTGAATGCAAGCTGGGTACTAACTATGACACAGGCCTCCTGATGCCGCCTCTAAGAGCGTCTGGAAAGGATACTTGCAAAATGAATTGTTCTCATTTGATAAACAGCAGTTGAATGGTAAGAATGAACATCTTTTCATCTTATTTAAATGATGTAGGATGGAATAGAGGACTAACATGATGAGGAATTTAAATCTATTCACAAGGAGTTAGAATCAAATAGTGACTAACATTATTGATAGTAATAGCATATAACACATCGTGGAATGAAAACTGGTTAGTAAAAGGAAAAAATAAAAGCCATTTTTCCCCCTTGGTACTGGAAATGGAACCCAGGGCCTCGTGTGTGCAGGTGGGTACTGCGCATACCTGACCCCTAAGGGGTCAACTTTTAGTTAGGCAACTAGTCACTGAATCCTGTAATGGAAATATTTCAGCATTGAGAGACATACACATGCACCCTTGTTGTTTAGGACCAGATCTTAAACATGTCAATTTACTCAAAGCCTGAAAAATGCAATTTTACACAAGGAAATTATTTTTTATATCTCTGAAAAGTAGAAATTGGGCAAAATTGTAAGACTGAATAAAAGAAGGTATGTATGCTTGCAGAGGGAGATTTTTTATTTCTGCCCACAAGCTGAGCCAGTTCCCAGACATCAATTCACAAGCCAGATTTCACAGGAAACGGCTGTTGACTTCTTGTTCAATGCTATTAAGCCTCTACAATTCAAAAACAAAAGTAACTTTTGCCTTGCTATGGGGGGGGGGGGGAGACAACGAATACGATCTTTAGTCCCAGCTCTTTTTAGGTGATATTTAGGTCTCTAGTTATCCGGGGCTCTGGTCATCCGGGGCTCCTTTCATCTGAGGCGCTGAGCATTTGGGGCTCTGGGCGTCTGGGGCTTTGAGAATCCATGTCTCTGGGCATTCGGGTCTCTGGTTATCCAGGCCTGTTGGCATCTGGAGCTCTGGGCATCCGGAGCTCAAGCCATCTGGGGCTCTCGGCATCCATGTCTCTAGTTATCCAGTGCTCTGGGCATCCGGGGATCAGGCTATACAAGGCTTTCTCCGTCTGGAGCTCAGGTCCTGTGGTGCCCTGTGCTCCAGATCTTTGGTTTTCTGGGGCTCTGGGCATCCAGAGCTCAGGCTATCAGTGCCCTGGGCATTTGGAACACTAAGCGCCCAGGGCTCAGGCCATCTGAGGCTCAGGCCATTTGGGGCTCTGGGTATCCGGGGCTCAGATCATCCAGGGATCAGGCCATCTGGGGCTGTGGGCATCAGGGGCTCAGGCTGGGCATGCAAAGCTCTGAGCATCCGGGTTCTGCTCATCTGGGTGTCTGGCCTTCTGGAGCTCTGGTCATCTGGGTCTCTGGTCGTTCAGGCAGGGCTTTGGTCATCCTTGAAGGCATCATGAAGACCAGTTTCCTGGAGTAGCAAATAATATGGTTGATATCTAACTTTGAGCTCTTCTCCTGTACCACTTGCTAGGGGCTAGATTCATGTGTGGGCTAGTTCATTTAATCTTTATCAGATATTTGTACTGCAAGTATTATCATCACCATCTCCATTTTAAAGATAATAAAACTGAGGCTTTAGAGAAAAACTAAATCATAGGGCTGCATAGCTAGTAACTAGCCGCAAGTGGGTCTGAATCCTGGTAATTTGATTCTGAATCTTGCTTTGCCTCCCTTAGCGGCCACCCTTAGGGTACTGATGCATGCTATGCAAGCGAAACGGCTAGAAGACCAATGTTAAACGGTACATGACCGACATTAGACTTCTTCAAGGGTTTGGAATTGTGTGGAGGTGCACGAGTCACTATTACGTGCAAAGTATTGCCAGATACTCTGCTCCTGCCTCATCCCCCAAATTGTAAGACTGTGATGGGCCCTGGAGGACAAACAGAGACTTTTTTTTGTTCTCGTTCCTGTAAAAGTACATGAGGTAGACAGCTGCCCCTGCCATCTCTCTGAGACGCTGAATGAGACTCACATCTGTCCGAATTAGCCCTGAATAAATGGTGTAGTGCGGTGTGCCAGTCTCCCCTAAGCTGGATTAATGCAGGGGCTCTGGGAAGTGTTCCTCCACACAGTTACTTCTGTGCCAAAAGTCTTGGAGATAAATAGTAATTTGTCCTGCAATGTGTGTAAATCCTAATTTGACTTTAGCTCATTATTACTACAGCTGGAAATCCAGATAGCCACTATTCTACACTTTGTTTCTTGCAGTTTTAAGTGTTAGAAAAAGCCTATGGTGAGGATCAAAATACCAAGGAACAGCTCCCCACTGCGAGCATACCTAATCTTCACAAATTATGTATCCTACAGAAAATGAGAGGTAAAGTTTTAAAAAGCAAATAATATAATTTCAGGTTGAATGAAGGACATTTTTGTTTCAATAGTATGGAAAGTGTACTACTTTACTATGTTAAGTACTTTAATGTTAACATTGCTTTACTTTAAATGACCACTAGATGGAGCCATACTTTAATGTTAAGGTTAAGTTAAATCTTAAAAAAAACGTTCTCCCATCAAATGCTTGCACTCAAAGACTAGGAAAAAAAAATCATGGGACATGGATTTGATTGAGGCCATTTCTGCAGCCTGATTGTGTTCAAAGGCATCTCACATTAAGAAAGAGGGTCCTGCTCCTGACCCTTGATCCTTGGCTTTGACCCCGGCTCCCAGACAGCCTAAGCTGCCCGTTTCTCCTTTATATCTCTCAGAAATGAGCTAGGAACCCTTTCCTTATTCCCCATCAATCCTCGTGAACTGCTGGCCTTCTGACCCTTGGATTTGGGATTATGGTTAAAGGTATCATTATACTATGCACTCTTACGTGAGACGTTAGATCCTCAAACTTTGCAGTCATGTGCTTCCTTTTTTCAGAATTAGATCCTGAGAACAATGGCAGCTTTCTTCTGTTCCTGCCCTTCCCCTTTGACAACAGCAGAAACCCACAATTCTCAGAATGAAAATACTCTTTCCCATAAATTAGTTTTACTTCCTTTCTCTACCTTAGGAATACTCTAGGTGAACACTTAATTCTCTTTGCCTTCAGGGCAGGTTTCTGAGTTTAAGTTTCCAGAGACACACTGGTCCTACAATTTGGTAATTACTCATTACCAAAAGAATCAGGTAAGGAACTTTTTCTTTTTCTGTTGATGACAAGCAATTAAAAAAATTTTTTTTCTGCAACATTTGAATACAATTTTAAAAGAACATGTAAAGCTCACAGGAATTTGAATTTTTGGTAAGGAATTTGAATTTGAATTTTGGGCTGTATTCACCCTCAAATTCATATGATTCTAGTTTTCCTCTTTTAAAGTTTTATCTCTTTTAAAATAGCCAGACTTATTCTTTTTGTGAACTGATCCACTGGACACAGCAAACAGAACTGTGACACTTTAGGGGCTCCAAAAACAGATGAACGCTAAATTTCTATGGAAAAAGGAATATGATAAGGACATTTAATAATTAACCCAGCTTGGAATAAATATTAAAGCAGTCATAAATCGTAACTGTGTAACTATATATTTTTATGTTTAATGGAGGAAGGGGTTATCTAGAGCCCATGAAAGTTCTACACACATTGAAAATAGCTAGATGCTTTATAACAAATAACCATTTCTTAACTGTCAATCACATTGATATTCTTCAGTTTTTATGTCTGTAGGTTTCATGATGGTGTGAACTGTTGCTTTTTGTTTTTCTGCCTAGCTTGTGTGCTATATTGACCACAATTTAAAATTAGAGAACTGTGTAAAATTCTGAGCAACAGGATCACATGAAGGCTCAGGTATTGCTCTGGTACCTTAATTTGATTTTAGTCTTTTAAGAAACAAGCTTTTACAAATTTAATAGAAAAAGCTGGGCGAATAAGGTGGGCAGGAGTGGGAAGTGCACCTCCTGTAATCCCAGCACTTGGGAGGCTGAGGAAGGTGGATCTTGCAAATTTGAGACTAACCTGGGCTGTAAAGTGAGCCCAAGGCCAGCTTGAATCACGCAGTGAGACCCTGTTCAAAAACACCAAAAAAATAAAAAATAAGAGTTGGGAGTCCATTTATTTTTGTTATTCTGCAAAGCTATGGCTCCATCTAGTGGTCATTTAAAGTACAGTTCTGGATGCCTGGATTCAGGGGAATCAGCAGTTGAATCCCATATATTTACAAAGTGGAGAGACCACTCTGCTTGCTCTCTTTTTGATGCTTGTGTGTCTCTTTCTCTACTTTGTCTCTTAAAAGCCAATGTCCGGCTCCTTAAGCAGCAGCATCTATTCTTGTAGTTTCTATTGACATTCCTGAATGTCGCAGCTGCTAAGCCATGCCCCAGGCAGCGCCCCGAGGAGCTCAGACCTCTGCCTGCCTCTATTCCTCTAGGACATTTCTCTGTCTGCCATTTTCACTTTTAGAAACTGCCATTCATGTCTCTGTCCAGCTTCTGGTGTTTTCAGGGCAGCATGTTTACCCAGCTCTCCTCTCTAAGGGTGTCTGTTAGTGCAGACCAAGAGGTACTGGGAAGCTCTTGATTGTGCTAAAGCCCTTGAAGCCCTGGGCCCTTCTCCTGGGCTTCTGTGCTGCAGGTCTGGAATCTGCATTTTAATGGCACCCCAAGACAGCTAGTGTGCAGCACAAACCACTCCCCTGTGCTCCCGTTGGTCTGTGCTTGCAGGTTCCTCTTTTGCTGTCTGTACCCGCCTTGCCTTCACACGCATTTTCTAATCTTCTTTCTCTTCTTGATCCTTCTGAACTGGGAAGTTCCTTCTCACCTTTTAAGTCCCCAGCCAAATATCACCTTCCTGTTGTGGGGGGTCTCTATTCCTCTCCTGCTTTGGCTTTGTGTGGGTCACCAGGAATCTTTGTCAGCCGGGCCTCCTGTCACAAGGTCAGGTTCAGGACCCAGAGGTTGGTCACTAATGCAGTTCATGGTGGTGAAACCACTGCTGCCTATTTAAAGGCACTGTTCTGCTATCAATCAGGCCTCCCAAGAGTTTATTTACTTATTAAACCCATTTACTAATTAAACCGTGGGTCTCCTTTCAGTTTCCTGGCCGTAGGAAATATTAAAATCCTAAGATTAAGAAGGTGATTTTGTATTATGACCATGCCATGTTCATTTCCTCTGGTTGGTTCCCATCCATTCCTTGAGGACCAGCCCTGTTTCTTATTTCTCCTGAATCTATTTAAAGTCTCCAGATGTTTCCCAAAAAATATTCTCCTTTTTCATCTGGGGAGATTTTAATAGGTAAATGGGACTCAGTATCTTCATATTGTTCTTTAGTAGACAATAATGGAATCACTGTGAATTTTCTATCCTGGGTCAGTTCCGCATGGAATTCGTTTTCCCATTGACTTACATGACAATGCAAACAATATAACTCTGTCTGTTAAACATTAGGCATATGTTTGAGGAAGATAACCTTGCAAAATAGAGACAGTTTAATTACAGTCTGCAGTAATGATTAAACACTTAACAAGAGAAACACAAAGCACCAGCTATAGACCCTACTCTGGAGAGATTTATGAGGCAGGTAGAGAAAAACATTTCATTTATTACCAGTATGTAACCAGAGATAAAAAGTATTTCCTGATTTCAGCTTTGAAGCCAATCATAACATTGGAGGCAAACACAAATAGTTAGCTTTCCTTGTTAGTCCCCTTTCCACTTCTGTCCGCCAGCAGTTTCTGTGTTTACCACCCAGTCCATACCAGAGATTGTGTATCAGTCAGTGTTTCCCTGGAGAAGCAGATGTAACACAAGCTATACCAACATATAAAGATTTACAAGATTGGCCTACAGTGGCCTTCAGGTGAGCAAGTGTTCGGAGAGCTTCTGCACACTGGAGCCCCGAGGGGCCAGTCCGAGGCCTGGAGTTCACTGCAGTGTCCCTGCGAGTCCGTATTAGGAGGTCGGTGGGTCTGTGATGGAAGCTGACAGTTCACACTGGAAGCCAGGAGATGACATGCAAAGGGGAGGTGAAGACCAGAGGGCCTCTGAAAGAGGATCAGCTCTGTCCCTCCTCAGTTCCCGCAGGTCTTCCAGGCAGCGAGCTGCCCCAGGGTGCACCTTCCTTATCCAGCGGGTAGACTTGCTGAGCTGATTCAGTTAGGTTTCTCTTGACCTCATTTTTCAAGTTGACACAATTGCTCAACCATCACCAACTCATTTGCAGATTATTTTTCTAAAAAATTGTGTTTCTGGTCATTATCTAGAAGTTCTGTTTCAGTTTTACCTTGCTGCCTATTACTGCCCGAGTTTCACTGTCTCTGTTAGCATTTGTTGGCTGAAGTCTGGGGACCATCTGCCGCTCTATGGAACTGAGCACCTCCCTCCCAGGAATCTTGTGCTCCAAGTCCACGGATACAAACTTGTCTTCCTGTCAGGACCCCGCCCGCCCGGGTACCTTGTTACTGTGCCTGGAGGGCCCATTCTGCCTGTGCCTGCTGCTCCATTTTCCGGAAGCAGGCGGGGTGTCACCTGGTGCCTCCCGGCTCCTGCCCACAGCATGGGGAACCGACCTGGCCTCCTGAGCTGCTGAAGCTTCTATCTCGTGTGGGAATAACCTTTTACAGGTCCGTCTCCTGCCCTACTAGATATCTTGAGCTCAGAGACCTGTTTTATTTATTTTCACATCATAGTATATAATAGTGATCAGTGATGGTGACTTTAACTGTTTCAAGATAAAAGCTCCTCTGTGAAGTTTACCCCAAGCCCAAGCTTTCCTTCCCAAACCCAGTCGCATTTCCCTAATGCAGGCTCACGTCACATCCTGTTGATGCTTTTGTGCAGCACCTCTTTCTATTGGGAGTGACTGAAAATCCAGCTTTACCAGAAAAACTCAAAGGAGTTTATTGGGTCATTAATCCACAAGTCCACGTTGTAGAGCTGTCTTCGGGGGTCCATGGTTTCAGGAAGTCCCTGAATGTGAGCAGGAGCCAGATTTCCCTTTGGCTTAGCTCTGCCTCCCTTTGGCGGCCCCTCAATGTATAGGGGTGCAACCTCTTTGATTTAAGTCAGTGGAAAAGCACGGCCCCCTCCTCTTCTCCCCATGACCCCCGTGAAAGTATGGGGGCCGACCCTGCTTTGGCTACGTGTCTGTCAATAAGGTAGGAGACAGAACACCACCCTATTGCTGGAAAAGGGAACTAGAGGGTTATTTTAATATGGCAGCAAGGCAGATTGAATAACATAACATGAGGATGTGGTAGAGTAGCCGCCAGGTCTTGGCAGATGGCCCAGGTCTCCTTGTCACTTTCCTTCCCCGCTGAGGTCCTCTAGGGGTGGTGGCACAAAGCAGCACTCTGTGCTTTACAACGCATGGAGCCATCACAGTGAGTCTGCCCGTGATTCCTTCACAATAATAACAAAAAAATGTCTCCATTTGCTTTCAGGCTAACTGAGGAGAGAGGACTGATGACAGTATTAAAATATCCTTAAAATGCAAGGAAATACCAAGATTTGGAGAAGAGTTCTTCCTTTGTGGTAACACTGTGGGAAGTGGCAGAAGCTGGTTGATTGATTGCACATGCAGGGTTAAAGCAAAGCCAACCCTGAGAACATGGAGAGCCCGAGGTGGGCCAAGTGAACAAGCTGTTCATGCTCCAAGAACAGGAGGTGCTCAGGCAAGCCATACAAAATTGCAAATCAGAGGGGCTGAATGACATTAACCTGGGTGTATAAATAAATGCACTGCACTGCCATGAGCTGTTCCTGTCCTCCCATCCGGAGGAGGGCTCCATCAGATCCCAGCTTTCTATGTCTTGTGTCTATTTCTTTACCTTCTCTCTGCCCTTCATAGCCCTCGCCCTGGGAAGGTTGAGAGCTGTGCGGGTCACAGCGTAACACACATCTTTGACCCATTCACCATGGCCAGAAGGTGGGTCATCTGCTGTTGTAAACCCAAAAATCGAGTTCAGTCATCCAAGTATTGTAATCCTCTTTCTAGTCTTCGTCTCAATCCAAAAAGTTATATTTGTAATCCCATTGAGACGTTACTGGAATTCCAGTCAGTCAATTCCAATCTACCACCACTAACCCAACCCACGGCGAGAGTAAAAACACAAAGACATATTCCAAGTTAAGGGCAGCCAAGGGGACCCAAGTCCATTTCCCGTGAGGACATGTGGACAAAGTCCACAGTCCTAGACCTCTCCCAGCATTTATTCTCTTGTGAAGAGAAGGGAGGGGTCGCTCAGGGCTGAGTGATAGTCAGGATGTGGGGGATTGCTGAGTAACCTGAGCTGGCTGGCCAGGTACAAGGAAGGCATCTCTGTAATTTGCAGAGATAAAGACATGCAGAAGGATCAATTTACACAACCTGATTAAGGTAGCAGGGGAAATGTTTTGGGGGGCTGTTGCTTCAGTTTTGATATGCAAACTCTTGTGCCCTGGGGAGTCATAGCCTCTTATCTTGAGGCTCCTTCCCAGTTGATGTTCCTGGAGTCTGCTCTGTGTCTCACCAGCTCAATTCTGTAATGTGGAGAGCACCATGTGAGGAAACGGGCTGTCTGATGGCCAGACTTTGCATATTAACACCTTGGCTGGCCTTATTTGCAATGCTTAGAGCCAATTGAAGAGAGAAGGCAATACCCTAACCAGCCTTTCACATATCAGTATAAGGAAATGAGTCTCCAAATATTCAAAGTATTGTTTTTGGATTCAAAAGGAGACTGGAGTTGTGTACCACAATCTGCTCCATCTGTGGAGTAAAGTTTAGGGTCCCAAAGATCCACTTGCAGTCGTGCATGAACATGAAGACCATCCAAAGATCAAAGCAACAGAAAGAGGATTCTGATCAACCTCCAGGCAGGGCCAACCTGTCCTCTCTGCATATGTCCCCAGTGCATAGCCTCCATGAAAGGACAAAGTGGCACAGGATTCTCACCTTGCCAGGCCTAATGCTGAGTGAATCCTGTTCATTAATCACAGCTCCTGAGATGACCTAGTACTGACCACCATCCCATAGTGCTAATCAAGTTAAAATAAGAATGCCTGACTACAATATAGCAAAAGCTACAGGTATGATCAAAAGAGCGTGTAAGTTTAAGTAAAATAATCATGGTATAAGACACATTGCCATTAATCCCCCTCAAAACACTACCATTCAATTTGAACACACCCCCACCTTCTTACAACTTTCTGAGGCATTTCTGAAGTTCTCTTTCATGAGTGTCTTTACAAGAGATGATAAAAATACATGTGAATGGCTCTGCTGAGTGCCATCAACAGAAAGGAGGCTCATAAAAACATCACCATGTGTCCTCAGCCACCTCGTTTATCAGACCTGACACCATGTGACTGGTTCTTCTGTAGTCAAGATGACCATAAGAGGTAAGTATTTCAATCAGTTTAGTACATTGAAGCAGCCACATCACACAACTAAAGACACTCATTAAAGAGGACTCTGCTCCAGAAAGTGGCAGGGAACATGGATGAGGGTGTCCCAAGTGATGGGGGCGTTCTGAGGGGTGCTAAGGGAAATGTGTGTTTTACTGTAACAACTTTTAAAAATGTAAACATTCACCATGTATTTCAATTGCACCACATATAAAAGGTCCATACCTTTGAGACAGAAATTTCCCTTCTAGAAGTTTACCTTAAGGATGTGAAGAGACGTCCTGTGTGGTGTCTTCCTCTCTGCCTCCTCCTGTGTCAGTGGAATGACGAGGAGGGAAAGCCAGTGGGCAGAAGGAAGAGTGAATTGAGGGCCATTGGAGATCAGGTTGAATTTAGCTTGTGACAGATCCTTTCTGATGTGGACAAAGAGCAATGCTAGACAGTTATTCCACGGAGATAGCTCAAAGCCTCTGGCCAACTTGCAAACAAGACCAACCTCTCCACAGGCCACCACAAGAAAAAGACAGTAGAAAAGAAAGTCACAGAGGTAAAGGAGACTCTCGACCTGGGGTGGGCCAGAGGGCAGGAGGCCCCTGTCTCTGCCCAGCCTCTGCTGCTGAAGACGGCTCTCTCTGGGGAGTGGAGGGACCTGCGACAAAGCACTCAGGGGACAGATGGGGCTGGAGGAGTCCAGCTGGGATCCTACAGATAGAAGTTCTCCTCAACAGAACAGGACGCCCAGGACCAAAAGAGAAACGAGCTCAGGTTGTCAGGCAAATGGCCCAGTTGGGCTGGGTGTGTGACATCCACCGGTGTCTCTGGAGCTTTGGAGACACTGGCCATGTGTCTTTTATAGCTTGTTTACTGTTAATTATGAATTGTAAATTCACTCTCTTTGTTTCTGTCTTCCTGCCCTTTCTCTCTTTCTCTCTAGGTCCTGGGGAACGAGCCTAGGGCCTTCGCACTGATCTACATCCCCCAGCCTCCTTGAAAACTTTTAAAAAATTTTGAAACAGGGTCTCACTAAATTTCCCAGGCTAGACTTGAACTCGTGATTCTCCAGCCTCAGTCTTCCTGAGTGCTAGGATTGTAGGCAGTGCTCCAGCAAGCCGGCTCTATTATCTACAATTCTGGTATATACTGAACAGGCCAGACGAACTGCTGAATAAAAACTTCAGAACTTCTGCAGCTTACCGGTGTTCAGGATTATTTCTTGCTCCTGTGAGACTTGTGCTTTAGTGTCCCTGGTCTCCCCCATTTGCGAGTGGGGACCCAGCCTTTTCTTTCCGGGGATTCCACTGGACCTTGACGCTGGCCATCAGTGAAGAGATGAAGTAAATCATAGGAGGTTTGCAGGTTAGGGGTCTGGCCTTAGCATGTTTCTCATCTTCTTCTGCACGGCTGGGAAATGCTATCTGGCCCAGTGGTCAGGAGGAGGGAGAGACGAGGGTTAGGGAATGGATCCGGGTGGCATGTGGGAAGCAGGATGTTGGGTTTGGATGCAAAATAGATTTGAATCTTGGCTTCTCTAGTATGGTAATAGACTACCACTTAGAATTCAAATAAATGGGCTGGGGAATTAGCTCAGTGGCTCAAGTGCTTGCCTGGTTTGTGCAAGGTCCTGAGTTCGATCCCCAGTACAAAAAAAAAAAAAAAAAGATACAACACAAATGAACCGGAGGTCTTAGATACCTGGCATTGTTTTAAGTTTAAGTGTGTGACTCACCCAATCAGAGGTAGAAAAAAACCCTTGGGAGGCTTCTCGGAGGAGATTTCCTCTTAACGTGGACTTATAGGACAAACAGGTGCTCACTAGGGAAGTGGTTGAGGGAGGACATTTCTCTGGAAGGAAAACTTATGGCTGAGTCAGGGCAGGCAGAAAAATCACACTCAGGAAAGTTGTAAAGTTAAACAGAAGGAAAAACGGTAAATGTGAACCAGCCAGATCTCATATAAACACCCTGGGAGTTCACCTTTGAGCAGACGAATCATTTCCCTCCCAGATGACGGGAACTGCAGGCATTTAGGGGGGCAAAGCAGTCACACGCGAGGTCAAAGGTCACCAAGAATAAAACATGCTCCCTTCTTGGAAAAGTTCTTGAACAGGCGCCGTGGTGGGACCTTTCCCAGCAGTGTCATCGTGAGAGTTTCACAGTGATGACTCATTTAGGCTTTCTCTGGAATGTACGAGTGAGTGGGATCCTCCATGCAGACCAGAAAACAGGCTGCGTGTGGTTTGCTGTGTGTGTGGTTGCTGAAGCAAACACCCACAGCCTCTTTTCCACGTGCCACTAACGTACTCGCACATCTCAGCTGTGGACATACGTGGAGCACCTACAGATTTACGTAAAATTCAGCCAAACTGAATGTCCATGGGCCACATTTTACATAAAATTGATTCTTCCCTGTCTGTAGATTAAGAGCCACAATGCAAGTTCTTCATATGCATACCACTAATCAATGTTCCTTCCCATAGTAGAGATTAAGCTTCAGTCTTTCTAGAAACCACGGGATAGTGACTAATCCACATGTATGAGGAAAAATGAAAATATAAGGGATAACAGCGTTTAACTCCAGTGCACATAGTTGCCAGGGCATTGCACCAATTAGGAGATCTCTTATCACTTGAGTTGTCCTTTCTGTTCTCTTTCTATCCACTAACTCTAAGTGCAGATAGTCTTGTGCTATTTTATCTACTCAGTTAGACTTTAATGTGAAATGTATTGGCTCTCCCAGTAGTAAAAACTCTCTGGCACTTGATTGGTTTGTTCCTAGGGAGGATGAACTACTTATAGATTTTGCCTTAATGAGCACTAGCTTTTTTTTTTATTTTTTAAATTATGTAAAAGGTAAGAGTTTTAAGATCTCTTCCAATTTGGTTTTGCTTAAATTTTTCCAAATGCAAGTAGAAATTATTTTACTTTTTCTACTTGTTTTCTTGAGGAATGTGAGAGTATCTGTCTTTATTACTTTTTGTTGCTGAGACAAGATATCTATCACCCAAAGTTAAAAGGCTGACTGTCGCTCAAGTTTGTGGAGGTTTCCATCTGGAGCCAGCTGGCTCGGGGGCAGGCAGCACAGCCGAGCGGCACCACAGAGGGGCTGCCTGTGGCAGGTCAGGCAGAGACAGCGAGCCTTCTGGACTTTTATTCTTGCAAGCTGCAAGCGCATTGGGTAGTGCCAACCACACTGGGGTGTGGCTTCCCGTTATCCAGAACTGCACTAAACCAATCTGTGGACCAATCCAGTTACCACACAGCCTGAATCCACATTTACACACTTTAGGTCCAGCCACCTCCAAAAAAATCCCACCTGCAAATGCATCTTAGGGGATGTATTTTGGGGGGCCATATAGACACAAGCTGTAACAGTTTTCTAATACTCATAATCATTAGTATTGGAGTTTTCCTCCAATCTTAAAAGTAGTTATGTTCCTACAATCATGAGAACTTTGTCACTTAGTTGTATTTTAAACATTTTATGTGGCTAACATTTATTTCTTTCATAAGATTTTTTAAAATCGTGGTAAAATGTACACACCTTGCACTGGTCATCTGAACCACTTCTAAGTGACTAATTATACCAACATCACCGTGTGACCATCACCTCCGCTCATCTCCAGAACATCTCCCCAGTCCGCAGCTCTGAACTCCTGAGTACCCAGCTCTACCTAGGACACCACTCTGCATCCTATGGACGCAGCCATGGAGAATCCCCATCCTATTCCACTACTCTCCCCCCATCATGTAAGTGGAATCAAACATTTGTCCTTTTGTAGTTGAATTATCTCACTGAGCAAAACATCTTCAAGGTTCATCTGTGTCATAGCATGTCAGAATTTCATCCCCTTTTAGGCTGAACAATACTCCACACTGTGTGCATGAAATACAACAGCATGAGAAATACAGCTATGGTTCATCCATTCACCTGCTGATGAACATTTAGGGCGTTTCCAACTTCGGGCTGTTGTGAATGATGTTACTATGGAAGTGCACGCATACTCATTTTCAGTTGTACTGTATATATGCCCAGAAGTGGAACTGTTGAATCCTACGATAATCCTGTTTAAGTTTTGGAGGCAGCATAGCACTTGAGACATATTTTACCATCAGCTGTGCTGAGTGAATCTTACCTGATTTTAATCTTCAAAAGGAACTTTTGTGTAGCATAGTTGAAGTCTTGGGTTGGAGGCTGTCTTTATAGTCGGTCAGGGCTGAGGGCATCACTAGACAGGATTTGCTTCAGTAAATTGAGCTTATTTTGAAGTAGGCTTTACCACACTGTGTCTTTTTTTTTTTTTTTTTTTTTTTTTTTTTGTACCAGAGATTGAACTCATGACCTCATGCTTGCCAAGCAAGCACTTAAACCACTGAGCTAAATCCCTGGCCCTACAATGTGTCTTCTTAGGTAAATATATGCATAACACCAATCACATCTTTGGCTCACCATGAAAGACACTATAAGTTCCTGTTTCTTTCCTCGCTTTCTTAGGTTGGCACTTTTTTTTTTTTTTTTTGGTCAGGGTCTTGCTATGTAGCACAGGTTGGCTTGGGCTCACTGTTACCCAGGCTGGCCTTGAACTCGTGGTGATCCTCCTGCCTCAGCCTCCTGAATGCTGGGATTACAAGTATATGCCACCATATACCTGCACCATAAGGTTTGCAACCAAAAAATTCTGTGGACTTAAAAAATAGTGTTTTTTTTTTTTTTTCTTAAAACACAAATGATCATTTTGGCCGAAGTGCAGCTACACCTGCTTGGTCAGATGATCCCTTTCGGGTTCCCTGCATCGGCTGTCAGTTAAGAGCATCTCTGCTCATGGTGGGATACTCCTAACAAGGGATGCAGAGCCCAGCTCAGAATCACCTTCAGTTTCTTCTTTGTGGGTCTATTGTGAGATCAGCGGAGCCTGCCACTTAGTGCTTATAAAAGCAGGGCAATCAATACATACATGAAGGAAGGAAAGAGTTGATTTCTTTGATGGCCATTTCCTTTAGGCAAACTCTACTGTGATCCTATAAAAGTTATTTTTTAATCCTTTATTTTAGATAATGCCAAGCAGACAACTTCACAGAAGATACATTATAATATATAATAAAATAGAAGAATATAGAAAATGACAAATTTTTAAACTTCTGTGGAAAAAACCATAACCATATTTTTTTTTGGGGGGGAGGAAGACAATGGAAAATCCATGGAAAATTGATTATTAATAGATTGTCAAAATTCCCCATTAGAAATGGACATTCTCTTGCCATTTTTTACACCACATTCATCATCTTTCCATCAGAGAAAGGAAATGTTATCCAAGTCCTGGTTTCAGTGTATAATTGGCGTTGAGATGGCCGTGCTTCATCGAGGAAACAAAGTGTCTCCGACAGGTCAGGTAAACATCTGTGGATTCTCAGTACCCAAACAGATTCCAAATTACGTGCTGATGGATAAAGTTGACTTCTCCTTGATTCCTCCCCAAATAACCCCTTGCCTGCTTTAGTGCACAGTAATCTAAAAATGCAAAGGATTTAATCAGAAAAAAGAATCTTCAAGAAATTCAAGTTTATTTCCTCATCCTATAGGCAGCTGAGCTGAGCAGTGGTACAGAGAGCTGGAATTCGCTTTCCGGTTCTTAATCCGGGGTCTTTTTCTTTCTGTGGATGGTCTCTTTGTTTCACTATCACTAATGTGAAGAAAAATTGGCTGTTTTATTTTTCTGGAAGATGCAATCACCCTCATGTGTTTTAGGCTGGTCCTGCCTTAGACTGAACAATTTATAAACAATTGATGTTTATTCATTTTGTTTTTATTTTTTATTAGTCCATGTTGCGGTACATAATGATTAAATTCCTTGTGGGGTGCGGGTATGTGCGACACATCTCAGGACTTTTTTTCATTTGCTTCTATTCCCCGCCACCCTCCCTCCCTCCTCCTCTTAAGGGAGATCTACTTTTTGAGTTCTTTATAGAGTCTAGATGTTAGTCCCCTGTCTAAGGAATAGCCAGCAAAAAATTTCCCCCTATTTTTAGATTGTCTGTTTAGTCTGTTGATTGCTTCCTTGGCTGTGCAGAAGGTTAATTTGACGTGACCCCATTTGTTAATTCTTGATGCTATCACTTGAACAATTGGGGTTCTAGTCAGAAAGTCCTTGCTTGTGCCAGTGCCTTCAAAGTTTTACTATTTTATGTTCCAGCAGATG